CTTGTATGGTAAGATAGATTTCTGTACCCAACTAAGTGTGTTTGCTATTCCCTCTTGGAGCCCATTCCAATGAGAGTAAGATTCAAGTGCTACCCCCCTTCCCTTTTACTATAAAGCTCTTCTGTGCTTCTTTTATATGAGATAATTTACCCCATTCTACTTCTCCCTTTCCCTTTCTCCCAGTGTATTCTTCTTTCTCACCCCTTATTTTTTTTTAGATAATTATCCCATCATATTCAACTCACACTCATGTCCTCTGTCTATATATACTCCTTCTAACTGCCCTAATAGGAAAGATTTTAGGAGTTACAAGTATCATTTTCCCATGTAGGAATATAAACAGTTTAACCTTATTGATTCTCTTAAGATTTCTCTTTCCTGCTTACTTTTTTTATGTTTCTTTTGAGTCTTGTATTTGAAAGATCTTCTATTCAGCTCTGGTCTTTTCATCAGGAATGCTCAGAAATACTCGATTTCCTTGAATGTGCATTTTTTCATCTGAACGATTATACTCAATTTTGCTGATGGGTGATTCTTGGTTGTAATCCTAGCTCCTTTGCCCTCTGGAACATCATATTCCAAGCCCTCTGAGCCTTTAATATGGAAGCTGCTAAATCTTGTGTGATCCTGACTATAGCTCCACAATATTTGAATTGTTTCTTTCTGGCTCCTTTCCATATTTTCTCCTTGACTTGGGAGCTCTGGAATTTGTTTATGATGTTCTAGGAAGTTTTCATTTTGGGATATCTTTTAGGAGGTGATAAGTTTCTATTCAATTTCTATTTTCCCCTATGGTTCTAGGATATCAGGGCAGTTTTCCTCGATAATTTCTTGCAAGATGATGTCTGTACTCTTTTTTTTGATCATGCCTTTCACGTGGTCCAGTTAATCTTAAATGATCTCTCTTGAGATCTATTTTCCAGGTCAGTTGTTTTCCAGTGAGGTGGTTCACATTTTATTTTATTTTTTCATCATTTTGATTTTGTTTTATTATTTTTTAACATCATTAACTTCGACTTACCCAGTTCTAATTTTTAAGGAATTATTTTCTTCAGTGAGCTTTTATATCTTCTTTTCCATTTGGCCAATTCTACTTTTAATGAGTTCTTTTTTTCTTTTTCTTTTTGTTTCTTTCTTTTTTTTTTTAGGCAGTTGGGATTAAGTGACTTGCCCAGGGTCACACAGCTAGTAAGTGTCAAGTGTTTGGTCTGAGGCCGGATTTGAACTCAGGTCCTCCTGACTTCAGGGCTGGTGCTCTATCCCCTGCGTCACCTAGCTGCCCCTAATGAGTTCTTTTCTTAAGTGAATTTTTGTACCTCTTTTTCCATTTGGCCTATTCTGTTTTTTTAAGGTGTAATTTCCTTCAGTACCTTTTTGTGCCTCCTTTACCAAGCTGTTGATTTTTTTCATGATTTTCTTGCATCACTCTTATTTCTCCTCCCAGTTTTTCCTTTTACCTCTCTTACATGATGTTGAAAATCATGTTTGAGCTCTTCTGTGGCCTAACACCAATTCATATTTTTCTTCTAAGCTTTTGATGTAATAGTTTTGACTTTGTTGTCTTCTGAGTTTGTGTTTTGATCTTCCTTGTCGCCATAGTAACTTTCTATAGTCAAGATCTTTTTCTGCTATTTCTTCATTTTCCAGCCTACTTCTTGACTTAACTCCATGCTAAGATGGGGCTCTGCATTTGGAGTGCAGGGGGCACTATCCCAAACTTCAAGTTTTTGTGCATCAGAGATCATTCTGGGAAGTTTTTACTTCTTGCAAGGTGGTATGATCTAGGGAGAGGCATATTTACTATTCTTCTGGCCTGTGCTCTGGTCTGTGAGTGACCACAAGCACTTGTTTCTGCCCTGGAACTGTGACCAGGGTCCCAGCTCTCCTGTGGCTGCAAGCTCTGCTGTGCTAGGGCTCTTTCTTGCCCTGGGAATGAGATGAAGGACTGCGACCCACATCCAAGTAAGGGCAGTGCAACAGACTCCTGCCCCTGGTGCCAGCAGAGGGACCCCTGTGATTCTCTTCTGACCAGTTGTCTGACCCCCTTACTGTCTGCGGGCTCAGAGGTCCAGCAACTGTCACTGCCACCATTGATTTAGTAGGCCCAAGGCCTACTACTGGTTTGCTGGGGCACAGCCTGCCCCTCTCACTCTGGTGCAATGGACTTTTCCTGCCAACTTTCTAAGTTTTCTTAGGCTGGAAAATTATTTCACCCTGTCCTTTTGTGGGTTCTGCTGCTCCAGAATTTGTTTTGAGACATTTTTTAAAGTTATTTGGAGGGGTTTTGGGGAGAACTCAGGCAAATTCCTGCCTTTTCTCCACTGTCTTGGCTCTGTGCCCCGATGCTTTCTATTTCTATTTTGCCTTCTGATTCTAAGAGATTTGGGCAGTTTTCTTTTTAGGATTTCTTTAAATATGAAATCTAGGCTCTCTCTTTTTGGTCAGGCTTTCAGATAGTCCAATGATTCTTGAATTTTTTTCTCCTTGATTTGTTTTCCAGGTCAGTTGTTTTTGCTGTGATATATTTTCTTCTATTTTTTCAGTCTTTTGACTTTATTTTAATAGTTCTTATTGTCTCATGTAGTTATTCGTTTCTGTTTGGTCCATTCTAACTTAAAGGGAGTCTGTTGCTTGGGTCAGGTTTTGTACCTCTGGTGCCAGGCTGTTAATTCCCTTTTGATTTGTTCTTCCATAGCTCTCATTTCTTTTCCAACTTTTTCCCCTAGTGCTCTTATTTCCTTAAAAAAAAAATCTTAGTCTCTTTTTAAAAAACTCTTGCTTCATTTTTCCCAGGAATTACATTTGACTTTGTGCCCCAGATGTATTTTTCTTTGAGGCTTAGCTTTTAGATGTTTTGGAGTAATTTTCTTCTTCTGAATTTCCCTCTTAAGCTTTGCTGGCACCATAATAGCTTTTTATGGTGGGGTTATTTTGTTTTGTTTTGTTTTCTCATCCTTCCAGCCTATTGACATTAGATTTTGTTAGGGCCAGGTTTTTCACATTTCTGGGGGGAAGACCTGGACTGGTCCTCCTATTGCTGCCTTTTTTGGGCATATTGAGTGTTATGCTATTCCAGGCTCTCAATGATAGCTCAGGCTGGGGACCTGAAAGGTTTTGGTGGTCCCAGGTTGTTTGATCTGGGTCAAAGTCTGATCATTGCTCCTGTGATCTCAGCCCCTTCAAGTTCCTGACCTGGATTTGCAATGGGCTTGTCCTTTTTGGAGGTTCAGTAGATTGCCATTAATAGCCATCTGGAAAGCTGTGCTGATTGTTCCTCTGCAGGTATCAGACTAGGCTAGAATTTGTAACTGAGATCTTGCTCTTTGTCTAGGGTCCAAGTCACACTGCTGCCACTAGCATCTAGGCTTGCTTCTTGCTTGGTTCACAGCCTAGGTTCCATGATCACTCTCAGCCTAGAGCTCCCACTTCAGTGCCCAAGTCCTTTGCTTAGTCTGTCCTGTATCTATGGCCCAAAGCTGAGTGGTAAATGATAGAGCTGCCGGTTATCAACTCTTCCTGCACCCAAATACTTTAGGCCCCTCTATAATAGATCTGGGGCCTCATTTTGCCATGGTGCACAGCCCCTCCCTGTGCATGGTACATTCTTGGCCAAATCCTGTCCACATTGTCTGTAGACTTCTGTCTCCCTCTGCCAACTTGGGCTGGAAAAATGACTCACTAGGATTTTTTTTCTCTTTGATTTCTCAATCAGAATTTGGCCTGATACTTTTCTAGGTCTGTTTATAGGAATTTTTAGGGCAAGGGGAATTCACTGTACTTCTTGTTACTCTGCCATCTTAGCTCCCTATCACAATGGCTTTTTTTTTTAATGTAGTTGATGAAATCCTTTCATTCAGCAAAATACTAGATATTACTATAGGAGTCATATTATCAGCTGTCTGATGCATTCAGACCATTGACTGGTTGGAAAAAAAGTCAAAATAAAAATCAGGTCAGGGAAAGGATAATTCTTGGTTGTTAACCATTTCCTACAAACAATATGAAATAGTCTCTACATTGAGGAGGCTAAAAGGGCCCAGAAATTTCATGTGTATATAAAGTCCTATGAGATTGCTTTATTCAATGCAGCCATAGAGAAGAGTCAGTCCATTAAAGCTTCATCATTATTAACCTTAAGCAAGGCATCAAAAGGAGAGAGAAAAACTTCAGTACTTCCTAGATGTTTTGTTGCAGTCATGGAGGATGTCCTACAAGTTGTAAATAAATAAAATTTTGGAAATTGTGCTGTGCTTTTAACAGTCACAAGCTGCTTCCTGGTACAAAACCTTATGCACTGATATTTCCCCATATAACTGTGAATCTTTAAAACTCCACAAAGAATCACAGTTTTGGGCAAACCAGAGGTAAATGGAGAGATGTGTGGTGGGTGCAAGGAGGCTTGAACATATCCAGAATGATTCTACAAAACATGTAGTAATGGACGTCATTTAGGAATGCTTTATTTGAAAAGGAAATAGACCAATTTATATAGGCAGAACTAATGATAACAGATGCATGACCCAAGTACCACACTAAATATAAAGAGACCTAAACTCAGACCAAACACTTGACACTTACTAGCTGTGTGACCCTGGGCACGTCACTTAACCCCAATTGCCCCCAAAAGAAAAAAAGAGAGAGAGAGAGAGAGAGACCCAAAGGAAGATAGCCTATATTTTGGATGGTTCTTCTTCCTGATCTCTGGGAGGACATGGGAAAGAATCCCATAGGATGTTAAATGTGGATGGGTTATGATGTGAGACAGTGGAGGGTTTTACCCACCTTGATGAGATTACAGATCTATTGTTGCTTTAAAATACTGATAGTATAAATTTTAACAACTTGGAAACAAATTTGCAGCATTTTTCTTAGGTAAGTTACTTAAAATATGTAACTTAATTTAATTGCTTTCCTCAAGTATAGTATATTAATAACAGTGGTTATTTTTGTTAAATGTGCCAAATATCAAAGAACTGGTTTTTGTATTCCTATTATAACAGTGTGCAAATATTGGGCCTGCAGACTACAATTATGATGAGACTATCAGTACATTGCGATATGCTAACCGTGCTAAAAACATAAAAAATAAAGCTAGAATTAATGAAGATCCAAAGGATGCTTTGCTTCGCCAGTTTCAGAAAGAAATAGAAGAACTCAAAAAAAAGCTTGAAGAAGGTAACTACCTTGTTTTTTATGTGGAACTTAGCTTATTAGCATACCTGTCAAGAACTATGATACAGATAACATGTTGAATGTTTTTTGAAATTTTGAACTAAATTACACTAGAGGTTACCCTTTTAGAAGACATTTCTAGAAGGTAGTGACAATTTGATACACTTGTATTGTTTCAGCAACCATTTGTGCTTTTTTATACTTTTGTAGTACACAAGAAAAATAATTTAATCTGTGTTTTTCAAATTGATTTGTATATTAGTAGAGATTAATATTTAACATTAATAGATAACCCTGTGATGATTATTTTGTTTGCCTGTCTTTACTGTAAAGATCTTTAGAATTTTAAACCTCTGTAGTGTGTGTGTGTGTATATATATATGTGTGTGTGTATGTGTGTGTGTGTGTGTGTATATATAAAAGAAAGTACAGTTGTGGCTTTGAGTAAGATAAAAATCAGTTCTTAGTTATTGTTGATAATGAGAGAACAAAAACATGAATTTCTATTTGTGTGGTATATGTTTCAGAAATTGTTTGCACTTGGCTTTGAAAAGTATTTTTATACTTAGACTTGAAAATGGTTGTAACCCATCATTTGATGGGTTGTTGTTGGATGGTGTTGAGGATTCTTTTTCTAAAAAATAACTAAACTGTATTCTGAAAACTTGACTTAGGAAACTGGGAAGCTCTTTAGTTTTTTAGTTTTCTTTCATCTACTTTGCTCTTTTCTGCAATTTTATGTTTGATCTTTTCAAGTCTTCCATGGAAGAGACCAGAGGTTAAGCATTCAGAGTTTCACATAAGACTTTTTTTATTTATCAAGTAAATAAGAAGGAATTGAGCCATTTTAATCATTATCATTAAGTTAATATAGTTTTATCAACTAATAAGGATCAAAGCTATCAACAAAGTAAATATCTTGTAGAAAATATGCTGTATGTAAATTTGGAGGCAGGATTTATGAAATTAAGACAGCTATTTAACTAGTCTAACTTCAGATAATACATATGGAAGTTTAGGGTTTTGAATTTGACCACTAGGTGGTATTTATAGCCAGTATTTATAGCAAATCTTTAAATCTATAAAATTCTAGAATTCCAACAGATTATAAATAAAATGCTGCATTTGTATTTACATGGAACACACCTAGCTATTAGCAAGAATTTATTAAGCAGCTGCTTACCATGTGCTAAGCATTGTGCTGGGTACTGGGGATACAAAGACAGAAGTGAAATAGTCCTTGCCCTTAAGGAACTTACAGTGTTTCAGGGAAGGAAATATGTACAGAAATAAATATATACTTAGAAGGGCAGCCCACGTAAAGGCCTGGTGTATGTGAGGAATAGCAGTAAGTCCAGTTTGACTTGATTGTAGAATGTAGGAAACAGAGTTACAGAATAAGGCTGGACAGGTAGGTTGGGACCAAGTTATCAAGAGGTTTAAATACCCAATAGGAGTTTATATTTGAGGTGAGACTTAATGGATTTTATTCGGTAGGACAATGACATGGTCAGGCCTGTATTTTTGGAAAATCACTTTGACAGCTTTATGGAGGTTGAATTAGAGTGGGGAGAGACGTGAGGCAGGGAAACTACTTAGGAGGCTGAGTCAGAAGATGATGAGGGCCTGAACTAGGGAGATGGATATATGAATAGTGAAGAGGGGTTGAATGTGAGAGTTGTTGTGGAGGTAGAAATGACAGGTTTTGGCAATGATTAGATATGTGAGGGGACAAAGGGTCACAAGCTAAGGATAATTCGGGGTTTTGAACTTCAGAGATTGGAAGGATAGCGACCCTTGATGGCACTTGAGGAGTTCAATCGAATTTTTGTTTGACTGCTTAGAAGATGGTTGCAAAATATTACTCAACTTCCTGTTTAAATCCTATCAAATGCAATAATATAAATGTGTGGTATTGGTATGGACAATCCCAAATAGCCTGTGAATTATAATACAGTATGAAAGATGTGTAAAATATATTTCTGTCCAGGAGAAGAGATTTCAGGCTCTGATATCAGTGGGTCAGAAGATGATGAAGATGAAGAGACTGAGGCTGGGGAACATGGAGAAAAAAGAAAAAAGAGAAGGGGTAAGATGTTTTAATAATAAAATTTATAGAAATGAAGTTGGTTGCTTCCCTTATGCTAGTTTTTGTAAGTATGTTATATGCATGTAACTTTTACAGTCATCTATGTAACACATCTTTTTTTTGGAAATAAAAATAGTGTTAGGGAAATATGCTACATTGGAGTAGCTTTGCATGTTTTTTCCACAATGATTTCATGATTATGGCAAGTTGATCTACATGTTATAATCCTGAAACATATTGACCAGCATCAATCAAAACTCCATATATAATTTTCTTGTTAGAGTTTATTGTTAATTGTTATTCTAGAAGACATGCCAATTTTAAATGTATGATTTTAGCTGAAACCAATGTTGATTGGACTTTCTAACTGTTCTGTGGAACCCAAGGCTTTTATAAAAATTGGCTAAGATTTGTGGAGTATTTTGTAAGCAATTTGTCTTTTAGATATGTTTGTGAAAGCTCTAAATTTTTTCGCATTTTAAATATGTACACATTTTATTTCTGAATCTATTTGTTCCTCCTCTTATAACTCTAAATTATACCATTATACTCACTCTGAACCTGGCATGTATCCCTGAGGGCCTATAGTACAAAAAGTGAAAGGTACCAGTTCTCTGCATAGAAAATGTATTATTTTTTTCCCCCAGAATATGAAACACAGCAAAAAGAAAGGAGAGATTTTATTACTTCCCCTTTCCAAAAACTTTCCTAATATTTATTTAGATCATATTATTTTAGATCTTCCTTTTCTTCCCTGAATCATGTTGATAAATATATATATAAATTTTACCTCACTATAGTTTTCTCTTATTGTTAAAATTGTGTTCCTTCAGATTTTTATGAATTTTAAAAATATATGGGTTGAAAATCCTAATTTATTTTTTATTTTTGCTTTTTAAAAAATACAAGCTAAGTCCCATTTAATTCTAATACAGGTAATGTGTGAAAATGAATTTCATAAGTAATAATTTTTTAAAATGAGAGTAGTTTTCCTCCCAGAGATGCAAGTTGAAAAATTTTTAGCAGTAGAATATGAAAAGGAAAATCTGTAAAAGCTCTGGATTTCACAAGCAGTGTTTCTGAGGTAAGAAAGAAAAGACAGAAACGCTGTTTGACTAAATGAAGGTTAATAAGTTAAAATACTTTTGGTTTTGTATTTACTAAAGTAAATTTGTATTTGCTAAAGTAAAAACTTCCTTTAAGTAATCTAGAGAGATTTAACAGACTCAAATGTCAGAGGTGGCTCATCTCCATTCCAGCTTACTGAATTAATATGTGTTGGGTGAGTAATAAGTATTAGTAGATTACTAAGTGGGTTATTTTTCTAAGATTGGTATTGTGATGTTTTGGCATTATGAAAGTATAGTGAATGATAGTTCTCTGAGACAGTTTGTAAAGAAAAATACATAGTACAGACTTTGAAGAAAACTTTATAGGTCTTTCACATTCTGTATTCTAGAACCGAATTTTTCTGTTTTCATTTTCTTGTTTTTTCTTTCTTTGGTTTTCCCTTGGGCTCATTTCTTTGTTTTCCAGGCAGTGGCAGCAGCAGTAGTTCAGATTCTACATGCTCTGTGGTAGAGAAACTCCTGGATAAATACATGACTAGTGAGTGGGAGCTCTTCAAATCCTCTAACAAAGCTTTGGCTTTACCATAACTTTTGTGCTTCACGTTACAAATGCTGCACTGCTCCCTGTCATTTAAAAACAACAACAACTACAACAAAAACCTAAGGATTTTTCAGTAGGCCAAAGCATGTGGGGTTTTTTCCTCTTTTGATACACTTCCAATTAAGCAATATTATTAAACTTACACTAAACTTAAGTTTGAGAGTCATGTATAAATTCATGCTTTGCAAATGACATAATGTAAAGAGAACTAGTAAGCTGCAGGTGAAAGTTAATTTGTTAGTTACCATCTGTATCAGTGGGTCTTTTTATTTAGATAGTTTCTCAAAGTGTGATCTGAAGTTGAAAATATATTAGAATTCACATTATGACTTGATTTATTACTCTCTTGTTATACTAGCGAGCCAAAGCATGCCCCTAAAAACATAATTTGAGTTTAATAAAAGCTTGATTAATAACCTGTTAGTGTTTAATCCTATGAGGAATTCTGCCAACTTAGCTTTAGCTCTAGATTAAAAGTGAGAAGAGATGTGTATAAGTTCATAAGCTTTTTAGAAATGCATATGAGATGATCTTGCTTCCTTTGACATGTATTCCATTGTTTTAAAAAGTTTCTAGTAAAAATGAATTTTGTAGCAACTTAAATGGACAGGGATCCCTATTTGATAATACTTTGACAGTTTGATAGATGAGAGAAATGCTGAAACAGGTTTAGAGAAGTCACAGAGCTATGGAAAAATTTGTGTAGAACCTATTTAGACTATACTTAAACAAAGTCTGTTTCCTTAAACAAAAACACATTTTAATTTAACTTATTTACTTTAGAAGAAATTCATAGAAAAGAGGGAGGGAACAGTGCTTTCTCAGACTAGCTGGCGGCTTACTTTCTTTTAAAACTTTATCTTTATACTTAACCTTTCCTAAAGTAATTTGAAAGACTGGATAAACATTCTCATGGTTGTAGGTCTTTGCTAAAGGAAGAATTCCAAGGACATTGAAATGATCTTTCTCTGGTGACATTTATTAATCATTTTACCAAACCGATATCAGCACCTATTTTTTTTTACTAGTATGTATAAAAGTGATTGCAGATGTACTATACAATAATATTTTGCATTATCATAAAATAAATAAGGAAACATCATCTAAATGGGAGACCACAACCTATAATCTTAATTTCATTTGTTGATTGAAAACAATTTCTTTTAGCTGGATTTTAAAATAGTAATTTTAGTGAAATATACTTAGGAATGTATTTTATTTAATTCAGCAACTTGATTATAACATAACATGTGCCTAGCCTCTGTTAAATTCCTTTTTCAATGTCTTATAGTGGTATGGAGGCAACTTGGGGTTCTTAAGGTACATACCTATTGAATATGAGCTCTTGACAGGTTCTACCAAGATAGCCTTCTACCAAGGCTTTGTAGAGGCTCATGAAATGATTCAGATAATTAATTTTTTTTGACACCACATTTCAGTGAAGGTTGTTTCCTAAGGCAAAGAAAGGTTGTGAACAGTGTTGGTGTTACACCAACAAAATCACAGATCCTTGAAATATTCAATCATGTGCCTAGCACTTCTGATTAATTTTTTTTCTCACAAATGTGTTTATATATTGGAGATTAGAGTAGTTTTCCCCAGCATGCATTTGTTGTGCATTCTCCTGTTTAAAGAGTTAGATTTATCTTTTGTTTAGGTTTAAAATGCTTGATTAAGTGATTACGGTTGACTTCTGTAGTTGTATCATAGCAATTACAATTAACCACTCTACTAATGTACTAAATGTAATTTGATGATTTGTGACATAGGGGTATACCTTTCTGTAATGTTCTTCTGACAAAATTGTAAAGAAATCAAATTTTGAAAAATTGTTTTTTGAATGTGCATCAAGAATTTACTTTTTAAATTTAAAAAAATTTTTAAATTTACTATTTAAAGAAAACCAGAAGTGAAAAGTCTGTTGAAGCAGAGAATCCTTTCTTAATGCAGATGACTCATAAGCTAATACTTCTGTTTTATAAGTTCGAAATATCTGATTTTCTTCAAGTAGAACACACATTTTGTCATCATCCTGTCAAGGAACATTAAAATTGGGAATTTATAGAAACAAAGTGAAAGTAAAATGGGCAGTTTTGAATAAATGTGCAATTTTGGACTGCTTTCTGGATATTTACCATAACATTAAGTTTTCTGGGTTCATGTGTAATATAGACTCATTCACATAGTACTAAATTTGATATTGGTGAGCTTTTTTGGTAGAGTGAGCTGCTGAAGTTAGATTTTTTTAATTATAAGCTTAAAGTAAATTAATATTCTCTGTAGCCCTAATTAAATCATAACTTAACCGTGTGTACAGGCGTACCTTGCATAAAGTTGTGTCCTAATAATACTGTTTTTTAGTAATGATAACATATTACAATTAAATCCAGCTGCTAATTATCCATGCATAACAAATACATCTGTAAAATTGTTCTTTTGGATGGATTAATAATAAAATCATTTCACTTGGTCTCATTTTTTGGGAACCATGAAAGGATGTTAATGGGGAGGTATGCCTGGAATCTATTGCCTTAGTTTTATATGGGAATCTCTCTTTGCTTTGGTAATTATTATTATTGTTATTATTATTTTTTGCTATAGCTGCAATATAGATTAATGCCTTTACATATTTTATTGTTTTATAAAAGAATTAATGTTTCTTTTTTCCTCCTCATCTCTATGCACATGCTTCCTGTCTACGATTTACTTACTTCTGCTTATTGCAAGATCAAGCAGGTTGGTGTGATTGATTTGCACTCCACATGGTACAATTATTGATCTTGTAAAGGACTTGTTCAAGTTTTTTTTTTTAATTGAGAAGAAATTACTGAGAATAATTTATTTTGACAAGGTAAGTATTTGATATTTTAATTTTTTTCAGGGAGAACTTAAATCTTTTTTTTAAGCTTTTGATTTCTAAATTCTTAACTCAGTAAGCTAAATTTTTACATTATAAATGCAAATGTTATTATCTCCAGCCATCTTTCCATTTTTCCTAGGTAAGGAGGGAGTAAAACACTCAGTTAATATTAATTTTTATTTCCATTTTCAGTTCAGTTGAATAAACATTTAAGTAAGTGCCTACTATATGTAAGGCTTTACTCCAAGTGCTGAAGATATAAAGACAAAATGAAATAGTCCCTGCATTCAGGCATTTCACATTTTGTTAGAATGAAATTCTTGTCCTTCACTCGTCCACCTGAATAAATAAGGGATAGGAACTGTATATATGAGTTGGTTAACAGAGGGAATCCTACATAAGAAAACTCCTTCACCTAATGTAAGTTGGCACCTTCTCTACAACTTATTGTCTTAGAAAGTGCCCCTCCCTGCAAAAAAACCCTCTTTATTCTAATATTGTACGATATACACTAGCGCAGGAGTTTTGATAACCAAATCTAAAATTTTTTAAATGTTTTCTGACCTAAAACAGTATGATGCTTGTAAAAAAGTGATCAAAATTCTTCCTTCTTTGCTTGAGAATTAATGATTTAAATTTTGACACTTAAATTAACTTTGGCTGTACTAACACATTATTAAAAAGGGGCTTTTTTAAAAAAATAAAAGGTAAATACATAAAATTCCTTGATAAAAATATTACACAGAGCACAGTATAACTCAGGTTTGCACCACCTGAATATGTAGTTGAGCAAATTACCTGGATGATTCAGATTTATCCATGAAATTCATGTAATAGTGGTATTTAATCTGAATTGCCAAGATAATTTTTTCCCTTTGATGGCAGGCACTTATTGGAATATGAGGAAGTTATTAAAGTCTTTTCCCCTTAGTTTTCTTCCCTTGGAATACATTTTACTTCCTCTAGTTACAAATTTAAATATTTTTGATGTGTTTTGAACTAGGACTGCCCTTGCTGCCATTGATCAGTCTTGGGATATATTTCCCCTCTTTGTTTTCTGGGCATGCACTGAATTTTTCTTTAAAGCCTGCCTTGAAACGATCACAAAATTGAATTTTAGAAGTAAAATCAAGTGTACCAACATACTTTTCAAACTAATTTTTGTTTTGTTCTCAGCTTATATTTATGATTTGAACATATCTGTATGATTTATATCTGTTTTACTTATTTCATTTTATATTTGCATAAATTATATGATTTATAATTTATTTTTTATCATAGGAAAACAAATACCCAACAAACTTAGTAAAGTTAACACATTCCCAAACATTGATTATATTACTCCCTTTTTACCATTAATATTTGCCTTATTATAATATTCTTTATATCAATTAACACAAATTTCATCTAATTCAAATTTTAGTCTTCCCTTCTACACTAATACTGTGCTTTGCAACTCTTTCACCATCCTTGTTCCTAAGAAAAAGGTGATATAAACATTGAGGTCCTTGAAAAAAATTCTTGGAATTAGGAGTTACTTTATAAAAAGAAAATTAGTTTTTAGCCATTTGGAATTCATAAAGTAAAGTTAAGGTGACTGGACCAAAGAGGTCAACAGAGGTCACGTCTTAATTTTAACTTCTGGACTGCAATTAATCACACCACACCGAGCATAAATGATTGGATCAAAACTATTATTTAGTTTCTTATTCATCCTGTTTGTGCTATTGCTCAGTAGAATTTCTTTTTGAGCTGTATGAAATGTAGAAATAGACTGTCATCTTTGTTTTAAATTTTTATATTGAATGCTAAGCTCCTTTTCTCCTGTGGAGACTAAAGATCTTCTTTAAACTTCCTTGAAGAAACCAGAGAAAATGTGTGTTTAGAGACGTGTAGTCCCCCTGTACAATTACATTTCACCTGTCTTCTTCATAGTATTTTTTCCTTTTTACAGCGGAAATGATTGACTCTGGGTAAGGAGGTCAACTGTTTAATGTCTGTAAATTCTACTTGCTTACCCCATTCTTTCTGTGGAACTTTAGGCAGAAATCAGTAATAGCAAGCATTTAGGAGTGTCAATTCTGTGAAATCAATTCTGTGAAAAATTGTGCTATTTCTCTGAAGGAAAGGATATTTCAAAAGTTACATTACTAGAATTGGATTTTCTTGTATTCATTTTCAGTAACTTTGTAAAGTTAACTCTAGTTTTAATTCTTTTTGGGTTGTTTTTTTTTTTGACTAAAAGGTATATTTTCATTCTAGTTCTTTCATATAGAACACTGCATTTGGAGTCAGAGCACACCTGGATTTGATTTCAGGTTTTGCTCTTAATTGTCAGTGTTACCTCAGACAAGTCATTTATGCTTCTTGGACCTCAGTTTCCTCTTGTAAATGAAGAGATTGAACTCTAACAGTCTTGAAGAGCCCTTGGAACTTTAATCTTATGATCCTATATTTTTTATGCTAATATTTTATATTAGTCATTTAGAAGGCCTAATAATAATAGTAGTAACTCATGTTTATATAACACTTTTGGCTTAAAGCATTTTAATAATAATTCTTGTTTGTTTCTCATAACAACACTATGAGGTAGATAGTTCGAGAATTATCATTCCTGCTTTAATGATGGTGAAACTGAAAGTCATAGTGGTTAAAAAGTGACTTAAGTAGCTAGACCAGGATTAGAACCAAAATCTTGTGATTCCAAGTATATTGCTCTTTCCGTTACACCATTCTGTCTATCTGGCAAGTCTATCCGTGTTTCTAAATTTGTCATGTTAATAAGTCACAGTAACTGTGAATGTATGCACATGTAGGCCACATGAACAGTAGAAGCACCGAATAGAATCTTATAACTCAAAAGTTGGAAGGGGGTGTTAGAGGCCATCTAGTCCAACTCATAACAGGAATCCCCTTTGTACCATCTGATAAATAGTCATCTGACTTTTGCTTGAAGACATCCAGTCAGAAAATATATATATATATATATATACACACACATCTTATGTATATTATATTATGCTGTATCCTAGGGGGAAGTACAAAGTTTAGATAAAACATAGTCTCTACTCATAAAAAGTTATGTTCTTTAAATTCCAAATCCGATATTCTTTTAACTACATTTTACTGCCTCTATTTTCTCATTTTTTTCTTTCTTTTCTCTTATTAGGGCCTATCTCATCTTAACCATATATAATTCTGTCTTCATCGAAAACTTATTCCATATTTCAAATAGCTAACTTAACATAAGAACATTTGTAATAACCCATTAGTAAGTTGGAGGTAATCATGAATATAAAATTTATTCACCATGAGCCATCTTAAAATATATATTGTACATATAAAGAAAACTTTACATTTTTATTAAACAAGTTTAGTTGATAGTTAAAAAAAAGTTTAAAAATAGTTATAAAAACTAACGAGTTCTTATACAGATTTACATTGAAAATATATTTTTAACAAGAACAAGTATTTGGGTTGGATATTCAAGTTATGCGCTCTGGCGAAATTAAGAAATTGCTTGGATTTTTTCCTTGTGCTAAGAAAAGGAATTAAAGGGCACATGGCTTACATGTTTGGGGCATTTGTTGGATAGATATAATTGCATAAATTATTTTTTTCTTGCTTTTTATCTGTTTTTATTTTAACCCTATTGCATGATGGATCTATCTTGCCTTTCTTTTTCCTTGGATGATTTTGGCTTATTGCCTCCTTGAATTTGGTGACTGCTTCAAAAAGGCTATTCTGGGCACTTGTGATATAGAAAATAAAGTGTAATTATCCAGTTGGTAAATATTCTTTTTTTAAACTGAGAAACATTTCACCATATTATTTTACAACCTTCTCCTTTCCCTTACTTTAGTGATAATCATGTTTAAATAAAACTCACATAGGTAAAAAGAAGGTTTCCCCAGATAAGATGGTTGAAATGCAAGCAAAGATTGATGAGGAGAGGAAAGCACTTGAAACCAAACTTGATATGGAAGAAGAAGAAAGAAATAAAGCCAGAGCTGAACTGGAAAAAAGGGAGAAAGATCTTCTTAAAGCCCAGTGAGTATTAGGATCTTCTGTAATTAGTATCTCAAATGAGATAATGTATGTTAGACAGTTTGAAAACCTTAAAATTCTATATAAATATCATCAATAGTAAGTTTGTAATCTGGTTTAAACAAGAAAATTTGATTCCAATTAAAAATTTTATTTATCCAACTTCAGTTTCTGCTTTTTTGGAATGGAATAGTTTCATAAAGATATTTAAGAATACCATTATATGTGACAAATTCGAAAGTAATTTGTTTTTCATTTGTCTGTGGGGAAAACATAGGTGTTATGTCTAAAATCAGTTTCATAATGGCTTTGTTTGCCACTGTTAGCGAGACACAGACATATACATTTTTTGAAATTATGTGTGTTTTTTCATTCAGCAGAAATCTACCCTCTCACACTTCCCATTATAAACAATCAAAATAAATTTCCACATTAACCATGTCCAAAAAAAAATTGTCTCGTTTTTTCACTCTGAGCCTTTCACGCTCTCTGTCAGGAGATGAGAAGCATGTTTCAGTATCAGTCCTCTTGGAATTGTGGCTGATCATTATAAGCTGCTATAAATAATTTTGTACATATGGGTCCTTTTCCTCTTTCTTTGATCTCTTTGGGATGTAGACCTGGTAGTGGTATTGCTGAGTCACAGGACATAGTTTCAAATTACTTTCCAGGATGGCTGAACCAGTTCACAGTTCTTCCAGTAATGCATTGATATACTTGTTTTTTTCTCCCAGCCCCTTTAGCATTTGTCATTTTCAGTTTTTGTCAACTGTACCAATCTGATGAGTATGAGATGGCACCAACCTTACTTTTTAATTTGCATTTCTCTAATTATTCTTGATTTAGAGCATTTTTTCATATGGATATGGATAGCTTTGATTTCTTCCTCTAAAAACTTCTCGTTCATATCCATTATTTTATTAATTGAGATTTGGTTCTTATAATTGAGATTTGGTCCGTTCCCTAAATATCTTAGAAATGAGACTTTCATCAGAGAGACTTGTAGCAAAGACTTTCCCCCCATTTACCTGCTTCTCTTCTAATTGGTTTTATTTATGTAAAACCTTTTTAATTTTATGTAATCCTAATTATCCATTTTGCCTCCTGTGATCCTCTTTGTCTCTTGTTTGGCCATGAATTCTTTCCTTATCCTTAGATCTAACAGTTATTTTCTTACTTGCTTCTCTCATTTATTTATGATATCACCCTTTATTCCTTAAGTTATATATCCATTTGTAGTTTATCTTGATATAGAGTGCTAGATGTTAGTCTATATCTAGTTTCTATTCCAGATGATTTTGGTGAACGCTGCTTTTTAATATAGTTTGAAACTGGGAAGTGCTATTAGCAAAAACTTTCTAACTGGTTTCCCTTTCTCAAACTCTTTTCCCACTGTAGTCCATCTTCCATTCAGCTACTGAAGTGATTTTCCTAAAGATTAGGTCTGACCTTGTCACTCCTTTCTCTTCTCCCACTCAGTAAGCTCCAGTGCCTCCTTAACTGCCTCTAGGATTAAACATAAAGCCCTGTTCAGAATTTAAAGCTCTTCACAATTTGGTCCCTTCTTACCATTTTAGTCTTGTAACATATTATTCTCCTCCATGGTCTCAACCATCCAGCTCTGTTGGCCTGTTTTTTTCCTCCTCAACCAATGCTCCATCTCCTGTGACCATCCCTTTGCAGTGGCTATGTTCTGTGCCTACAATTCTGTTCTTCCTCACCTCAACCTCTTGGCTTCCTTCAAGACTTAGCTTAAATCCTATTTTGTGCAGAAGCCTTTACTGGCAATCATTAATCACTCAATCACTAATGCCTTCCCCGCTGAGATTATTTCACACCTACTTTGTGTATATCTTGCTTGTATGTAGTTATTTACATGTTGCCTCCCATGTTAGAATTCAAACTCATTGGGGCCAGTGAAGGAGAGATTAAAGTTGCATATGAGGGAAGGTTTTACTTTGTTGGTTCAAGGCCTTGATGGCAGTAGCAGGGAATCAAGGGAATCATAGATAAAGGGCATAAAGAAATTAGTTTTATCGAATAGGGTTATCTCTTCTGTGACTACAGGGAAGAAGATGAGAATGGGTGGTGGTTCATTAACGTTTGATTAAATGGAAAAAGGCAAGGGAGATGAAGAAGCTTGATAATTAACATTCCAATTTTGAGACTCTATTTTAGTTTTTAAATTTAGTAAATCTTCATGGGTTTAAATTTTTTTTTTACTTGAAATCATAAATGTCAGAATAGCAAGTATTTCACTATATATTGTATTCTTATCTTAATAAACAGACAAGAACATCAGTCACTTTTGGAAAAATTATCTGCACTAGAGAAGAAGGTGATCGTTGGAGGTGTTGACTTGTTGGCCAAGGCTGAGGAGCAAGAGAAACTTCTGGAGGAATCCAATATGGAACTAGAAGAAAGAAGGAAAAGAGCAGAACAACTTCGAAGAGAGCTTGAGGAAAAAGAGGTAATAGAGACATTTTATTCATGGTTGGATAGTTTGCTTAACAGGGAACTTTTTCGATGAAGAACGAAAAGTATGTTAAATTTTAAAGCATATGTATGGATCTCATTCAAAAATTATAATTGGCAAGTAGTTTTATAATTTTTGTCATTCCTTATTGACAAAGAATATTTTCTGAACCTGAACAATTTTTGCCTTAGCAAGAACGCCTGGATATTGAAGAGAAATATACTAGTTTACAGGAAGAAGCTCAGGGAAAGACCAAGAAGTTGAAGAAAGTTTGGACGATGCTAATGGCTGCCAAGTCAGAGGTCAGTATCTAAAAATAGCATTTAAAAATTGTTATTGGTTTTTTTGTTCTATTTTTGTATTGTCTAAATTTACACCTATGACAAAAGACAAAAGTTGTCAGTTGCAGTCCACTGACTTCATATTGCAAAAAACCTATCAGGGACACAAAAAGAAGTTTACTGCAGTTAATTCACTCAGAGTGAGACACTTTCCATAAGAAGTCTAAGGGCATGTGTATCTGTTATAATTCAGTAAGTGGCATTTATAGCATTTTACCATTCAAGGCTACTTGAGACAAAAGAGGGTATGGAAAGAAGAGATTCCCTGTGGGTCATGTAGAGGGTGCTTATTACTACTTACAAAGGAAGGAATGTATCTCTATTAGCATAATCATTCCCACTAGATCAAAGGGAGCCACACATCCCCTGTCAAGTGAGCTAAAGTGAAGAAGTACACTTCTTCCAAATCTTCTTTTTCAGTCATAAAGCAATTAGAAGCATCCTAATTCAGATCGATCCTGCAGTACTTGCTGAGACAACAAACAGCAAAATGGTCAATTTTAACAGACCACTCTTAGCTCACAAAAATATTTTTAACATCCCTGTATCATTCTTCCTTTCTCCTCTCAGAGAGCCATCTCTTTTTGTTATAAGGAATTTTTTAAAAAATCAGCACAGCCAATCAGTGTATCAAATAGAAATGTTAATGAAATGTAACTTTTTCTTTTTTGTAATCTTTTTATTTATGTGGTACTAATTTATATAAGGGAATCAAAAAGTATTCCTTTAGTTTTAAAGGAGCAAAATAGTTTTTCCTGCTTTTTATTGTTGAGTTAACTTATTTTTAAAAAAATTACTCATTAAAGTGTAATTGTTACCTTCCATGGTTAGCTTAAAATTGTTTATTCTGATTTCCTTGATTTGTTTTTATGAAAAAAAGCTTTTGTAGAAGTGGTAAGATCACAAAAGAACAATTAGAATTGTTCTTTGCTATGAAATAGGACTAATTTTGCAATTTGCTTACAATATTTTTGTGACTGTAGATGGCAGATCTTCAACAGGAACATCAGAGGGAAATTGAAGGTCTTCTGGAAAATATTAGACAGCTTAGCAGGGAACTTCGACTTCAGATGCTTATTATTGACAACTTTATTCCTCAGGATTATCAGGTAAGTAATGAGGGTGTCTATAATTTTTTTTAGCTCATTTAAAATGTTTATTAGGCGCCTCCTTTATGAAGAGCATTATGTTAGGCAGTGGAGAAAGATAAAAAAAAATTTAAGACTGCATTATTCTGCTCTCTTGAACCTCATAACCTATTAGGTATACAAATAATTTTTATATAAAATATAGTAATATTATAGTTGGTGACCTCCATAGAAGACTTCTCTATTATAAGTCATCTTTTGTTTTAACAGCTGTTGTTCCCACCACCCTTTATCAGATAATTAGCACACCATCAGCTTCCTCAACAGGTCAACCCTTTAATGGAGTAGTTCTTTTTATGCATTATTTGACTCTTGTACCCAAGGGAAATAGCTACTTCATTAAGGTAATACTTTGACGTAGGGAAATCCCTGAATATGATGAATTCAGTACAGATTTGCTGAATGTCAGTATGACTAAATCCTATGATTATAAAGTGCCCCTGACTATTCCCTATGCCTACATGCCTGGAGACATAGGCAGTCAATAACTGACTTCACTGTAGTATTAGCCAAAAAAAAAAAAGCTTCCACAAATCCTTCTTTGTGATTTCTGAATGACAAAAGGTTTTGAACTAACATTCACTAAAACACTGTGAACTACATTCCACTTTGATTCAGTATCTGGTCACATATTCAAGCATTAGTTAGATTTTCCTACATAGGAAAAGCTTTATGTAGTATGGCTAGGTTTACTCAAGTCATTTCCCAAATGGCAAAACATGAGACCAAAGGATAAAAATAAAAGTTTAACATTTTCATTGTTTTTGATTATAAAAGAATTTTTTAAAATGAAGCTTAAATCTTCAGCTCAAACTTCAGCCTAATCTTCTTTGTGATACTGATATTTTTGAGTAAAATTGGCTTTGTTTGACCACCATAGCCATAACATCTTTTCTCCTGAGTGCATAGGTAGTGCTTGCCCTTCTACTTTGTCAGTTTGTGAACGTGGTGCTTCCTTTATGTTACTGCAATAAGTTCTACATGTTTGGGAGACATTTGCCCCGTTGGTGGCAGAGTTGTCAGAACCTAATGGAGGTTGTTCAGTCTTGATAGAAGTGGTATGTAAAACATTACTCTTTGGTTTGGGGGCTAAAAAGAGCATTCAAGGAAGAACTATTAGAAAATTCATTAAGTATAGAAATCAGTCATCATTTATTAAGCACTTATACTTAAGACAGACACTCTCATAGGCTCTGAGGATATAAAGACAGAAGTGAAACAGTCTCTGCCCTCAAGGAGCTTACAATCTTTCCGAAGAGATGTATACTTAAATATTTACAAAATAGATTCAAAATAAACAAGGTAATTTTCTGGCACTATCAGCTTTGGTGATAAGACTTGAGATGAGCTTTAACAGAAGTGAAAGTACTCTCTAAGGGAGCGGAGATGAGTGGGGAATCCATCCCGGGCACAGGGGACAGCTCTGTAAAGAGGCTATTTGTGAGAAACAGCAAGAATGCCCACTGACTAGAACATAGAGTGTGGGAAAGGGAAAAGGGAGGAATCAAGTTAGGCTGAAGCCAGTCTTTGAAGGGCTTTAACTGAGAGACAAAGAAGGTTGTTTTTGATCCTAGATGAACTAGGGAGCAATCTTTGTTTGAGTAGGAGAATGACATGATCAGACTTTTGCTTTAGGAATATTTGGCAGTGATACAGATGATGAAATAGACAAGAGGGAGAAATTTGGGGGTGAGGAGACCAATTAGGAGGCTATTGCAATAGTCTAGACAGGAGATGATGAAGTCCTAAACCATAATTGTGGCTTTGTAAGTAGAGAAAAGGGAATGGATGCAAGAGATGTTGTGAAGGTAGAAATGACATGTCATCTAATTAGGTTGAGGGAGAGTGAGAAGACAAGGTTGACTCCAAGGTTGTTATCTTAATACAGACTCAATGTTCAGGAGATACCAAAGCCCAATATAAAGAAACGTGGAGCCTGCAATAAGACAGTAAAGCAAGCCAGATTTATTGAGGATAGATACTCTTAAAACAAAAGGCTGTCAGGGAGAATGATGGAAAAAGATCCATTGGGACCACAAGTGGAATTGGGTTTCCTGCTGGGGCCATAGAAGGAATGGGCTACCTGTTCCCTTACCAGTAAAGTCTAGTAGGTTTTTACTGGGTTTTTATCCTGAGTCTAGCAAAACCATACATTAGGAGAAAGGAGCAAGGAGCCTGGACCTGGGGACTGGTGCTGATTCATGTTGGTTGGGGGAGGAAAGATTCCTGGGGAATTGGAGACTAGTTGATATTCAGACTAACCTCTGGGAAAAGGAGCTAGTCCAGGGGTGGGGCACCTGCAGCCTTGAGGCCACATGTGACTCTCTAGGTCCTCAAGGCGGCCCTTGGATGGAATCCAAACTTCTGTAAGACTTGGACTCAGTCAAAAGGCTGCACCCAAGGACCTGGAAGGCCGCAGGTTCCTTACCTAGTCTTACACTCCAGTAGGGTGATTCATCTTCCCTGTTGGGTTTTTGAGCTTTCCAAGTGATTTTTTCATTTTGCTGGTGTGGGAGGCTATTGTATTCCTAAAGAACTGTGAATCTGGATGACTAGAAAGATAGTGGTACAGTAGATATAGGGAAGTTAGAAAGTGGCATGGGTTTTGGGGAAAGATAAAATGTTCTCTTTTGGACATGCTGAGTTTGATTTGCTTACAGGATGTCCAGTGGGAAATGCTTGGTGTGATATGGACTGGACCTATAAATATATAGAGCTGCAGAATCATCTGCATAAAAGTGATAATGAATCCCATGGCTGCTGATGAGGACAGTATGAGAGGAGGGAGAGAGAGTGGAGAGAGGTGTAGGTAGAAAGGGATGGAGAGAAAGAGGAAAGGAAGGGTGGAGAGAAGAGGGCCCAGGACAGAACTTTGGAGTATGTGCATGGTTAGGGAGCAGGATATGGATGATGATACAGTAACATTCATGATTGTCAGTTGTAGGTGTTTTTGTTTTTGTTTTTGAACTAAGATAGGCATATAGTTCATCCAGGAGAGATTTATTAAATCTCTTCTGTATACACAACATTGTTTTAAGGACAGAGAAAAAAATTAAATAATGTATCATCCACAGGGAGATAAGACAAAAACACATGGTATCTATAGTATACTATTTTAAGTATCGTAGAGTTACAAAACAAATTGCTACATGCAATCCAAGGAAGATTTTTATAGACTGGGTAGATCAGGGAAAGTTTCATGGAAAAGGTAATATTTGAGTTAGATTTTAAGGAATAAATAAGAATTCATCCAGAGATGATGTGAAAGGACATTCTAGCCATAGAGAACAGCATAAGCAAAGGGAGAGAGGTGGGAGTATGTGTGTTTGGGAGACAGAGAATAGTCTGACTAGAGCATCAATTGTGTTGAAGAGTGATATCAGATAGAGTGGTGAAGCACCAGAGAGTGCAGGGCCTTAAATTTTAGGCAGAGGACTTTGAATTTACTCAGAAGGCAGTAAGGAATCGTGGAAAATTTTTAAGCAGAGGAGTGACACATAAAAAAAGATTATCTTGAGGCAGAATGTACTTTCATGAAAATGACATTGTATATTTCTTGGAGAAGTTAGATTTTAGTCATGCTATGCACTGGGCCCTTATTCCCAATTGCTGCTAGCTAGAACTATTATGGATCAATAAAACATCTGATTTTTTTTTTGCAAGAGATTATCCTGTTCATCTACGTGAAGGTCAGATTAAAGTGAGGTTAGGCATACTTGTTAGGAGACTTTTATAGTCCCAGCTGATGGCAATGAGGGTCAGTATTAGAAGAGTTGCAGTGGGATTAGAGAGAGAGAAGAATGTGAGAGGTTGCTGAGACAGAATCTATAAGACTTGGTACTTGATGGGAAGTGAGTGAAGGGAGAATCAAATTTTGTGCCTAGGTTTCAAAGATGGGAGAATTGTGGTGTCTTACACAGAAACAGGGTCAAAAGTAGAAGCAGGCTTAAGGACAAAGATAATGAAGTCAGTTTTAAGACTCTGCATTTGAGGTGCCTATGGTAAATCTGGGCAAAGATGTATTGTAAGCATTGGGAGATGTGGGTCTGGCTCCCAAAAGCAGAGACTAGGTTGGAAAATTATGCATTTGTTGAATCCTCTGCATAATAGTAGTAATTAGTTGAAGCTGTGGGAATGAAGGAGCTTGCCAAGAGAGATGCAGAGGGAGAAAGAAGAATGACAAGGACAGACTTAGGGGTTCTTAACCTGAGATCGACAGACTCCCCCTATGACATATTTCAGAGGACCCAGGAAATTAAACAGGAAAATGTATCTTTATTTCAAAAAGTTTGTTTCCTTTGTAATCCTGCATATTTTATTTTATGCATTTGTGCATTTAAAAAATATTTTGAGAAGGGGACCACATAGGTTTCACCAGACTACCAAAGGGTTTTATGAAACAAAAAAGTTGGGGACGCCCACATTAAAGAGCTGTGAAAAACTAGAGGAGAAATAAGGAAGAAAGGAAAGAAGGGAGGAAATAAGCATTTATGTGTCTGCTATGTGGCAGGTACTATGCCAGATGCTTGACGGATATTGTCTAATTATCATCTCATTTAATCTTTGTAACTCTCGGAGATAGGTGCTATTGTAGGTGAGGATACTGAGGGAGGCAGCAGTTAAGTAACTTGTCTAGAGTCACACAGCTGGTAAGTGTTGTGAACTCAGGTTTTCCTGGCTGCCAGCCCAGTGCTCTATCTGCTTTGCCACTTAGTTGCCTCAAACCAGGGGAGTGTGGGGGGGGGTATTAACAGTGACAAATGCTGCAGGATGATCAAAAAGGAATGAGAACTGAAAACAGGCCATTAAATTTAGTGGTTAGGACAAGAGTTCTTAACCTGGATTTCAACATAATTCATTTCCTTTATAATCCTATGTATTTCCAGCATTTAAAAACATTATTCTGAAAAAGAGGTCATAGGTTTCAGCACACTGCCAAAGGAATCCATGACACACAAAAATGTTAAGAATCTCTGGCTTAGGATGTCATGAGTTAACTTTTCAGAACATTCTGTTTTTGCCACCTCTAGGTGCAGGCTCCCTTGACAGTATGATTCCTACCTCTTCAAGGATCACCTTTATGTAAATAGCTCCCAAATCCATTTCTTCAATTCTGTGATTCACCATTCCAGTCCCATATCCTGCATTACCCATGGATGGTCTCACCAGCACCTGACATTCAACATATCTTTTACAAAAATTTACCTTGCTTTGCTTCTCCTAACTTGGTTGTATGTATTAGTGGCACCACCATTCGCAATGTCATGTGTTCAGGATAACTTGGTGTTATGTTAGCAAGTACTTTCCATTCTGATCTGTCCCCTTCTTTCTCTTCCCACTGCTTCCATTACACATAACCCCTCATTACCACCCATGTGCACAATTACCTTCCAGTGATTTCCTGCCTCCAGACTATTATTGGTGCCACTGCCAGACATATCTTCTACATATAGACATCAGAGATAGGGTCTTGTCATTAAACTGCTCAAACCCTTCATTGGTTCCTTATTGCCTAAAAATACCTTTTCCTGGTGTTCAAGGCCCTCTATAATCAGATGCCTCCCTACTTTGGAGCCTTATTTCACACTTTTCCTTTCCATCTGTTCTTCACCCTGGCAAAACTGGGATATATAGTTCCCCACCTGACTGAATTTACTGTATCCTCCTTTTGCTTGCACTTTGCTCGCACTTTGCTCTATACCTAGGATCTCCAACCACTCTCATTTCTAACTAATCCTTGCTTAGTTTCTGAAGTCCAAGCCATCCTTTAAAGCCCAGCTTAAATGCGGCCTTTCTAGAAGCTTTCCGGAAGGCCTCGTGGTCTATAATAGTCTTTATTCCCTGTCACATGGCTTTTTGATGCACTCACCATTTCTTTTGTGTGTTCTAATTATTTGATTGTCTCTACTAGCCTCTCAGGTCTAAAAGAGTAGGGACCCTGTTTTAGCCAAACTCTGTGTCTTCCCTAGTGCCTTGTATACGGCACTTAATTAAATCAGTTCACTGGTGAGTCAAGACATCGCTTCCCTGATGTCACAGCCCTCTCTGAGAACAAAGGACAGACAACAGCTGAAGGCTTGCTGAAGTGCTGCTCCCTTGTCATATTTACGATCTTTCATCTTTTTTTAAAGTCCAATTTTTGAAGAAAACATTGAAAATAAAGCATTTTGAGGGCTGCTCTCTTGAAAGTAATGATGAAAGGTACAGATGAAACCAACCCTTTTCCCCCATAAACTTAAAAAAAGTATGGTGTTTAACTTTATAAGTAAAATGTTTTTACATCTTTCCAAAGGAAATGATTGAAAATTATGTTCACTGGAATGAAGACATTGGAGAATGGCAGTTAGTAAGTACACCTTTACAATCATTAATCTTAGAATGCTTTAGAATAATCTGTTGCTTTTGTCTTAGTCCCATGTATGCTAATTAATACTTTTCTTTTTATTCAAGAAATGTGTTGCCTACACAGGAAATAATATGAGGAAGCAGACTCCAATACCTGATAAAAAGGAGAAAGATGTAAGCGTTTGGTTACTTTTGCAGCTACCTCTGTTGCTTTAACAATGTGGTTTATTGGGGCAGCGAGCTGGTGCAGTGGACAGAGCACCAGCCCTGAAGTCACGAGGACCTGAGTTTAAATCTGGCCTCAGACCAAACAGTTGACGCTTACTAGCTGTGTGACCCTGGGCAAGTCACTTAACCCCAGTTACCTTAAAAAATAAGTAAATAATTAAATGAATGAATGAATGAATGAATGAATAAATAAATGAGAATGTGGTTTATTACATCATTCAGACAGCCATTTGGCCATACTGCCTTTCACCCAGGGATGGAGGCCTTTTGTGTTGTTTGGAGGGATATTCTAGTAGTTCTGGCAGGGGGAATCCTCAGGGGTGATAGTTACCATAGTCAAGGGCACAGGGGCAAATAGTATGTCTCAGTGACTTGACTTTATTCCTCTTATCTCTACCTGTAGATAAAGGATCATGGGACTGTTTTGGAATCTGAAATATGTCTATGATGATTTTTTTTTCATTGCTGCTTTGGTCTAAGGCCAACAGGGAAATGTAGCAGTGATAGAGGGAAGGTTTTGTTATATCTCTTTATTTCTAGAAAAATGTGTAGCACCTCAGGGCTTTTTTAATCTTTTGCCCTCCCAGAACTTGGTGATCACTCTTTATTCACTAGGCTTTGGATAAGAATGTCAAATTGCTTGTGTAGCAGACATCTATTTGAATTACTTTTTTAGTGACTTTGATATTTTAAGCAAAGGAGTACATTTATGGGAATGGCATTAAAAATGTTCCATGTTTGTTTCTTTTACTTAGCCCTTTGAAGTGGACCTTTCTCATGTGTATTTAGCTTATACTGAGGAAAGCCTGAGACAGTCTTTGATGAGATTGGAGAGGCCACGCACTTCAAAGGGAAAATCAAGGCCCAAAACTGGAAGAAGGTAAGAATATTATTAAATCTTATAAATCCTGAGCTTGAGTTATTCTAGTCATTAAGACATACATTTTATATTTTTATTTCTGTTAATACAATCATGATCTTGGCTAAGACTCTAAGGATCTCATTTGAAAATTAGTTTCTTTAAAAAACATTGCATTGATTTTTCCAACCATAGCTATACACTCAAAAGTGTATCTATTCAAAGGACAAAGGGTAGAATTTAAAGGGAGACTCTTTTTTTTTTTCAAGTCCTCTTGGGTTACCTAAGACTATTGCTTAGTCTCACTTTGTTCTTTGCAAACACCACAAAAACCTTCTGCTCTGTCTTAGTCTCAAAGACTTTTGAGTCATGAGAGCTAACTAGTCACTAATCTCTTCTGGCGAGATGCCTCTTTTTCTAAATAAACTATTCAGGAGAGGTATTTCCCAAGAGACCACCATGAAAGCCTTCATCTAATAGTCTTTCCATTTTCTGGCAGCTTAGGGAGATGTTCTTGTTCGTATCGATGTATTTTCTCCTTGGAGTTTTCAGCTACATTTGTGTCAGATTGAGGTTGTATTAACACTCACACCATCCATCAGCCAACTGGTATAGAGACAGCTTATTAAGAAAAGGTTACCCCCCCCCCAGTTAAGCTTTCTTTTTTTTTTCCTCCAACCCCGTGTTCTAAATGGTTCTAGGTTTTGTTTTTTAACATCCTGTAGTGACACTAGCAGGACAGGAAGTGATAAGCTTGATTTTCCAATGTTTTGAAGGATATAGAGAAGTAGGGTATTTTTTATTCTAGAACCCTCCCTTCCTCTCCTTCTCCCTCCCTCTCACCCCCCCCGAACTCAGCTTAGTAGAAGTAATAATTTTAAAGATTATCTGTTATGAAGTATGAAATATATATCATACTGTAGAAATGCTTGCATTTTGGCCTTTTCTTGAGAAAACATTCATTTTCTTCTTGTTTTTCCCTCCAAAACAGAAAGCGTTCTGCGAAGCCTGAGACTGTAATTGATTCTTTGCTTCAGTAAACGTTTACAAATATGAAACCACAATAAAATTAGCATATGTTACAGTGGTCGGCCTAGCTATTTAGTTTACCTGAGGATATTGAGGATTTTTCTTTAATTTGACACAGCCAGGGCTATAAAATAATGCCTTACTCTGGAGTAAGAATTAGAAATGATCTTTTGTCCAAATACTGTTATGCTGTATGTGTTATATTAACATAACATGTTCAGACAGTATAACTAGTAGTTGTTAAATTGTTGTAATGTGCACTACTACTGTTTGTTTTGTGCAGGAAAATCTGAAAGACCGTATTGCACAATGACAGTGTTAGATGTGTATTTAAAGTCACAAGCTATTTACCTAATACCTTCATTGAGAGAAACTGAATTTTAAGACATGAAAAAGCTAAATGTCATGTCATGCCTTGCACATAGAGACTGGCAGCTTCAAGTATCCTGTGTTGTACTGTTGTGTTTGAATGTGGTAGCTTTCATCTATGATATGACTCTTTCTGAACACTAAATCTCTTTTTTCACTATTTAAATACTTGCTCATTGCAATGGTAGTATTTGCTGTAGTTAATGTATGAAATGAAGCAACTCATCTAAAGAAAACAAAACACGTCTTTATCATGTCAACAAATAATGTACACTGACAATTTATTCCATCCTCCTTTCTAACTTTCCTGTATTCCATTGTCTTACTGCTCATTTAAATTCAAGTGAAACATACATTTTTGTTTGGGCTAATAAAGGTAGCAAAGCCTGTGGATTTATATTTTCAGTGAATTGTCACTAATTTAAGGGTGCCACATTTTTCACAATAAGTGACTAGAGATAGAGAAATTATAGGAGATCAAATAAGTTAGTAATGGCATTGTATTGCCTGTGCTGAGATCCCATTTGATATATGGGTAGGTGAATTGATATTTTGACTGCATCTGAGTCTTTATTTGATTTTAATTATTCTTTACATTCTGCCTGAAAGAAGAATTCTCATTCTTCAGAAAACCCTACACACTTAATGAATAAGCGAACTTAACAGAAATTAACCATTGACAAAAGATGTCTATTGAGAGCTTTGCAGATCCAATTGGTGTTGCCTTTGAGTAAGAAACTAAACAAAAACACTCACCTGGAAGATGTTCAGAGTAGAATAACTTCCTTCTCAAGCCCATTCTTCAAGCTGGAGACTTTAATTTGCCATGTTCAGATTTCCTATGCTTCGGAATTGTGGAGCATACAGCTTTACCTCTTCTCACACGGTCATTTGAATGAGGCCATCTCCCTCTTTAAAACTGGTTGTTTTTTAATTAACAATTTAAAAAATGTACAAAGTACTTTATTAGAAACTCGTTCCTCTAGTGGTTAGTCAGCTACTTACAAAACTGATAGTTACTTTTTTTGAATATTGCACTTCTACTAACCACTAGCATTTTAATTTTTTGTGTGAATTTTTAGACTTAAAGTATTGTTAGCTAATGCTAAACCACCATGGTTCAAATGTCTTAAATCTTATTAATTTAACGTGATTTCAGTAAGCATTTTAGATGTTCATTTATGTTTTTTTAAAACTAACTAAAGGAGTGGAAAATTGGTGAGTTACCTCCAAGAAGGAAGAGTACTGAAGTCCTTGAGTGCGATGAGTATAATCTGTGTTCTCTTTGTAATATTTGAGATGTTTTAAAATCTCTAATACTTCCTTACATAGGATATATGGTTAAAATACTGTGAAGACTTTAGTTGAATTTGTGTCCTGAAAAACAGTGTCAGTAAGATTCCTTAAAAGTTGACATGTTTGTCAGAGACCCATCAGGCACTGAGGAGAGAGCAGTAGATCTGGAGTCAGAGGGTGTGGGTTCAAAGCTACTAATCACCTTTGTGACCTTGAACAAGCTGTTTAACTCTCTGAGCCTCAGTTTTCTCATCCATAAAATGAGGGTGTTGAAATAAGTGGCCCCTCTGGTCCCTTCCACCTCTAAATCTAAGCTTCTATGAACTCTGGGAATAATTTCTGCAGAGAAATCTTTGTTGTCCAGTGGAAGCATAGTTAATATTTTTTTCCTTTTAAGAATACATTCTTTTTCAGTCTTTAACTCAATGAAAAAATTGTTTACTATAATAAGGAAAGTATCTTTGATTATACTAGTATAACATGTTAATAGCTTACATTTATAAAGTGCTTTAAAGTTCCCAAAGCACTTTATATACATTTTCATTTGGTCCTCAACAACCTTTTGAGGTAGGGAGTATTCGTATTGTTATCCCCATTTTACTGGTGAGAAATTTGAGACTCAGAGAGGTAGGCAGTATTTTGCCTGATGTCCCACAGAGCCAGGATTTGAATCCAAGTGTTTTGACTCACAATTCTTTTCACTGCGCTGGATTCTACATATGATTACTTCCCGTGTCTTTTGTCCCCTAAAAGTACAACTTAAATCCATAAGAGTGAAACTGTTATATTTTCAGTGATTAAGAAAAATTAAAGTGTGTTTATGCTAGAGCTTTTGTACTAGATGAGCATTAGTTTCATGAGATGTTGACATTAGATTTATTAACCAGGCAGATTTGGAACAAGGGAGGGACTGAATTTTGGGCCATTCAGTAGTTATGATAAAGCTTACAGAACTGTTATGCTAACATGAAGTAAACTCATAAGGCTCACTACATTTAAAATCCACAGGCTAAGTTTGTAATGACTTCAGTGATAATTCCATGAAAGTGCACAACACATAGACATTCTTAAACTGAGTGGATTTATCCACTGTATGGATAAACTTGGTCTAAAATATAAGTAATTAGGTTCTCAAGTGAGTATTTCTTCTGTTCTCCCTTTGACTTAAAAAGTAATAAGAATTATTTATTCGAAGTAGCATTGACAACATTGATAGGGGTGGAGGTTATTAGTTTATAGTTTGTGATTTCATAACCTTTTTTTAGGGTATTAAAATATGATGGCATTCTCCATACTATACATAATTCTCCATTGAATTAAATACTAGCTAACTAACTACTAAAACTTCTGAATATGCACACAGGATGTTGTATATTTTTCTTATACTCACAGCTGTTAGTTGGCATGTCAGTCCAAACCTTCTGGGTGGATGGGAGGAGGGATAGTTTTTTATTCTTTACTTCTCCAATTAACACATTTTCATATTTAAAAATTGGGTTCAATAAAAGTCCTGTTAGCCTTGAATGTTTTGCTTTTTCTATGATTCATTTTAGTTTTAGTATTTATTAGGCCTTACCACTTTTCTTTTGCTTTATAATCTGTTTTTAATAATTTCTCTTTCCCCTGAAATCATATTTTAGAGAATCACTTCCTCTTCCTTCCAAGGATGGGTTAAGGAGAGATCTGTTTTCCCATTAGAACTTACTGGTGTTTGGTCAAGTTTTAATGTATGTTTATACTTTAATGTTATTTAATTATTCTTGGTTCTAAAATGCTAGAAAAGACATCTCCCTTAGTGCCTTTGATGAATTTACACTGTAGTCTAAACATAAACTTTTAGCTAACAATGCTGTTTATGAGCCCTAAATAAACGTTGTACAGTTAGCTTCATTTGTATTATTTCATTAATTTTGAAAGTAACATTTGTTTAATTTTTATGTAAACATTTTATTTATGTTGTAAATACCAGTACTGTATGTATACATGCAGCATGTTCATCCTAATGAATAAAAATATTAAGGTTAATGTAGGTCTGATCTTTCTCAATTCTTTCTATGCATATTTTTTCCTAGGTTGGATATTTATAGGTATTAGATACTATTTATGCTTAATATGTCATTTTATGGGGGAAGGGAATAAGCATTTATATAGTACTTACTCTGTGTCAGGCGATGTGCTAAGAGTACTTTACAAATATCTCATTTGAGCCCCACAGCAACCCAGCAAGGTAGGTACTATTATTATCCTGATTTTGCAATTGAAGAAACTGAGGTAAATAGAGGTTAAATGACTTGCTCACAGAGCTAGTAAGTTTCTCAGGTTGGATTTGAACTCAGGACTTCCTGACTCCAGACCCAGTGCTGTGCTGTCTAGCTACACCTAGAACAGTAGTGGTCTAGGAAAAGAGGCTGGAATCATTTTAAATCCAGAAGTTCTTACTGGTTGTTGAACTTCCAAAAAATATTTGTTCAGAAAATTATACTTTAAATACCCATTATATTCACAGCTTTGTCATACAACAGTACTTTGAGAGGATTTTTCTTCAAGATTGCTAGCTTTTCATTCACAGATTCTAATATCCCATAATATATTTTATATGCAGGATTTTTTCATTTTTGAAGAAATCAGTGTGCTTGCAAGTGATTAGCCAAGTAGCTTTCTGGCCCAGAAGCTTTCTGGCCCAGATTAGCTTGAACATCTAATGGACATGTTGTCTTTTTTTTTCTTTTTTTAGGCGATTGGGGTTAAGTGACTTGCCGAGAGTCACACAGCTAGTAGGTGTCAAGTATTTGGTGGGAGGTGGGATTTGAACTCAGGTCCTCCTGACTTCAGGGCTGGTACTCTATGCACTGCACTGCCTAGCTGCCCCCATGTTGTGTTTTTGTAGGTCAGACTTTTCAAATGGGCCTGCTCAAAATGTTTGTCAGTTTCACCAACATTCCCCATGTCTTTTATGTTCAAAACCTTGTTTTTGATTCCCCACTCCTAACATTTTTCACATCTAGCTAGCTGCTAAGCCTTATTGATTGACACATTTCCCTTCCATTTTATTCCATTTTGGTATAATAGGCCTTTTGACAAATTTTTCCATCTCTGCATTCTTCTTCCCTGTTCTCTCCCTTCCCTCCCCAATTCCATCCTTCATACTGTAGTTCTAGAGTAATGCATACAGGTAGTCATCTTATGCTGAACAGAATCCTTGGCTAGTTCTCTATTCACTAAATAAACTCCAAACTCCTTTCTCTGGCGTACGTTAAAAGCATCAGATTACTCTCTTTTCCAAACATACCCTGCCTTGTTATGCTGTTCCGTATGCTTGGAACACTCTCTCTCCCTCTTTTTAGTTGAATTCCTCAATAGAAAACCTCATCCATAAAGGATTCCCCTGATCCTTCATTGATCTTTTCCGTTGGGTACCTCATGTAATACTTAGTTTTGCACCTCAGAGAGTACTCATCATATATTATTTTGTATCATAGTTATTTGTGTATATCATTTCCCCACCAGACTACAAGTTCATGAAAACATATCTGTACTTGGTATCTCTCCTGGGGCTTAGCACAGTGCTATGTCCTGTTTGGTTACTTAACAAATGTTTATTGAATTTAATATGAAAAGTTAAAGAGTAACAAAGTAAGTTAGGTTATTACTCTTATTGAATTTACTGAAATTAGTGAGTTCATCTTATTTTTGAAAGCCTTGTTAAAAAACAAAACAAAACTTTAGACTACTAAACTTCTTCTAGAAGTGGTGTGTATGCAAAGGGCTATTCTAAGAACCATTTACATGGGCCTTCATTCTACTTTTTCATGCTTACTACCATAAGTGAAATTTCATGTAGGCTTAGAACCTGAAAACACAAAGAACTGCCATAATTCATACAAGACAGTAAGTGAGCTGTGATTTATAATTATGAAAACAAGTAGCACATTGAGGTCAGGTCCTAAACCTAAAATATTTTTTAGAGTTTTTTATGCTAACACATTTGGTAAAAATTATTTGAACTTATGACGTTAAGTTGTTCCATTCTCAAAGGCAGATATTCAGTCCTGCTTTGGAAGCTAAATAAATGAATGTGTGGGAAAATGAATCTGAAAAGGCTACTTCAAAAAAAGCTAGTTTCCTTTTAGCATCTGCTAGGCTTCCTGTGACCCAATCTTCATTTCTTTTATCAATGTTATCTGAATGTCATATCATCATACTCAAAACATGTATGACTTTGAATTTCTTTAATAAAGATCAGTTACTCCCACTTTTGGAGGTTGGAAAAATTTTAGTCTTTAATTGGAGGCAACTTGCATTTATGTAGAAAGGTGCTTAACTCAGACTTTACAACTAATAAAATGTTTATCAAAGTTGATAAAAATCTTAGCAAGAGGATATTGCCTAACCGAAAAATACAAGCTGTATTACAAAATAGTCATGGGGACTTTGCTTTCTATTCCATTGTAGGTAAATGAGGGTTGAGCCTGTAATGATTTGCCCAACACCCAGTTGTGTGTATTGTAATTGCGTCCTTTTTATTATCAGCAAAAAGTTGATTTGTGGTGGTTAGTAGAACTGTAGGCTGAGGGTGAAAACATTATAATGAATCAAAAGTTGATTACTTTCCTCTAAACCTCTACAGCACTTAAGAGTTGATACCATTACAGTCTAGCACCTCATTACGTTGCTATCTTGTATTGTTCTGTAGTCAGCTTGTCTCCCCAAGAAAACTATAAACTTCCTGAAGTCAAGTATTGTGTCTTAATGCATTTCTACCTTGCTGAAGGTATTCAGTGTATTTTTGTTAATTGAAATTCTGGAACAATAGTTTGACTCATCCAGAAAACTGAGACAAAAAGAAATTATTATAAGTAAGAAGAAAGGAGGTGAGCTAGAGAAGGCAGGTAAAGCATTTCCATTCAGCCTTAAGTTCATTTGAGTGGGGAAATTCTCTTTGCTTGCTTAGGTTTAAGTTCAGGGGATCCGTGATGTTTCTTTGGTGACATCTACCCTTATTTAAACTTCGCATTTTAGTCAATTTGCCTTCTCCCTACTTTTCTAAATGAAAAATTGTATACAAAGTACATGGTGATCTTTAAAGCACTAGACAGACTTCAGGAGTTATTATCATGATATTTTTATGTTGTCCTTCCTCTTCTATGCCCTAACTCCATTGCCCATTTCCTAACAGGTCCTGAACACCCCCCTCTCTGGTAAATATGGACTCCCACTGGAGGTAACCCAGAGCCCCACTCTACTCCAATCCTTGGGTTCACTATCCCTTTCCCATTTACATGTTATTTATAGGTTATGTTACCCAACTAGACTGAACGCTCCTTGAGGGCAGGAACTTTTTTGCCTTTTTTTTTTTTTTAGGATCTCCATCACTTAGCACAATGCCTGGCACATAGTAAGTGTTTAATAAATGCTTGACTGATTGACATGGCCGCGCACTCTGCTTAGATGAGCAGAGAATCACTGATTGCAATCCTAGTAAGATGGTGAACCTTGTCATTGCTCCGTAAGGTCCACCGTGCCCTAACATCTGCTCTGATGCTATGCATTCTGGATCCCTTGTGTTGCCGCCTGGCCCATTTTTTTTTTGTCATATTCCCTCCCACTGTCCCCTAAGGAACTCTGGGCTCGTCCATCTGTCCCTTTGGTTGAACTTTCCTATATATGTTGTCTCCTCTAACATCAATGTCAGCCCTTCTCCGTTTGTGTCTCCACTGTGCAGTGCTTGGCACATAGTAAACACTTAATACATGCTTTCCCATTTTATTCAGTTATTTTTGCCTTAAAGGTTTTCTTCTCCCACTTCCCATGTCTTAGCTGGGTAAAACAGGGGTTCTTTTTCTGTGTTGTGGATGCTATTGGCAGTCAGGTGAAACCCTTCTCAGAATAATGTTTTTTCATGTTTGTTTTTTGAGAAGTAATCAGGGTTTAGTGACTTGCCCAGGGTCACACAGTAAGTGTCTGAGGCCACATTTGAACTCAGGTTCTCCTGACTGCAGGGCTGGTGCTCTGTTTACTGTGCCACCTAGCTGCCCTTGCAATAATGCTTTTAAATGCATGAAGTAAAATACAGAAGATTAAATTGAAAACCAGTTCTGTTGAAATAGTTTAAAATTTTTTTTTTTAAAAACAAGTTCATAGACCCCCATTTAAAAAAAAACAAAACAACCCTGGTTTAATAGCAGCCTAAAAGCCGCCTCCTTCCTGAAGTTTTCCCTGGTTCCCCTCTACCATTCTCCTTCCTTTGAGCCACTGTAATATTTTTCAATTCTTATGGCATTCTATTTTGCCTTTTTACTGTGGTTACTCGCTGTAAACTCCTTGAGGTTAGGGACTTATTCTTACTTATCTTTTTATCTTGCTTAGTACCTTACACATAGCCTGTAAATTAAATCTGCTTACTTATTAGTGTGGATATTCCCTCCACTAGTTTAAATTGCAGCCCTCTCATACCTCATCCTGTAAGATTCTTGTTTTTTGTTGTTTTTGCACTAGGCAGTGGGATTAAGTGACTTGCCCAGGATCACACAACTAGTAAGTGTTTATGTGTCTGAGGCCAGATTTGGACTCAGGTCCTCCTGAATCCAGGGCCAGTGCTCTATCCACTGCACCACCTAGCTGCCCCAGTCCTGTAAGATTCTTGTTTGTGTTTTCTCCTAAATTTGACAGTTATAAGCCCTACTTCTGATAGGGTTAGGAGACTCCAGAGATGGTGACCCAAGGAAATGAACAATGGAGACCGGAGACTGCTACAGTCCCCGCATGAACTATTTTGTTCCTAGCTAACTAGCACTGTGTGTTTTGACATCTATTATGGTTATTTGTGAAACAAGTCTTATCCCCCAATGGACAATGAGGTCCACTCAATACCAAACTTTGTGTCTCCCTCCCAGCGCCCTAGTGCTCTGCAGCACCTAGAGGCAGCTAGATGGCACAGTGGTTAGAGTGGGCCTGAAGTCAGGAAGACCGGAGTTAAAATCTGGCCTCAGACGCTGACCATGTGACCTTGGGCAAGTCACTTAAATCTGTTTGCCTCAGTTTCCTCAACTGTGAAAAAGAGATAACAATAGCACCTACCTCCTAGGGTTGTTGTAAGGATCAATTGATAACAAAATTTGTGAAGTGCTCGGCATGGTGCCTGGCACAGAGCAGGTGCTTAATAAATGTTTGTTGCTTTCCTTCCTTCCCATACTGATTCTTGAATGGTTGACAGATGAATTGAAGAATGAGAAGAAAGAAACACTTTCATGTGAACTTTCTCATTTTGGTCCTAAGAGGATGACTTCCTCAATTCCTGGTTGCATAATCACTTGCCAGGCTGATCTTTTGTGGTTAAAAGGTTAGTTTCTGTTTGTTTTTTTATTTTTATTTTAAAAATTTTTCCCCTTCCCTTAATTTTTGGAGGGCTAATTATTCCTGTTTTTTTAAAAAATACTCTGGTTTTATTATTTACACTGGTGGCATTTCATTTAAAATTACACCTAAGTGTCTTGCTGGTGTTACAAATTAGTTTTGAATTGGGCCTTGTGGTTATAGGAGGATGTGGAATAAGAAACCATTTGCCTGTGTAACTCAGGGTGAAAAGAGAGCCCTGATATTAGGCCTATTTTTTTCTTATGAAGGCATACTTAAACAAACAAGTTTCTAATGACTTGGCATCCCTTGAATTCATTGATGTCAGTCCTCTCAGAGATGGTTACACTATCTTGTAAACAGTTTCTAATTTTATGTTTTGTTTCCTCAACTAGATTTTAACCTCCTTAAAGGCAGGGACTGTCATAAGCATTTTTTTTTGATCCATCATAGCACCCAACCCAATCTTAGAGCCATAATAGGCACGTCAGTAATTACTTGTTGAATTATTTCTCAAAGAAATGGAAACCCTTGACTCCATTTGCCAAATAAAAATAGCTAATACTGATGAAAATGAAATATCAATCTTAATATGTACTTTAATGATATATTATAAATATATAAATATATTTAAAATATATAACTATTAGAAACTTATAAATTAAAATTTATTCTCTAAAACTGTGCACTTTTTGAAAATATCTTCTGATTGATGGTTTTTAGTTTGCTCAGGAAATCTTGCAATTTAGTAATCTTGGTTTCATTCACAGGACATTTGGTCTGTAAAGGGAAACATTATATATCAGCTTATATAATTATTCTATTCTTGCCAGTATCTCTGTTTACTTGGGGACAAACTTATTTTCTATCCCTGCCTCTTGGACCCCCCATGGCATCTCACTTAAGGCTACAAGTAGATGTGTTCCAGGTTATTACAAATTCATTTTAATTGGGCCTTATGTCTCTACTAGTGGACTAGCAGGAGGCCATTTGCTTGTGGTTCGTACCAACACTTTTGTCTGCTGAAACTGACTCTCATATTTACATCAAACATATAAAACAGCTGATTAGCTATAATGTAGCAATATACCATGTCTAACAATGGCAAATAAAGTCACGTATACAGGACATTTTGAAGGGTAACTTTAAACCCCTCTGTCATATTCCATATATACTTCACAGCTGCCTCCATTAATATTCCAAGAAATATGCTGTTGAGAAGTGAGTGATTTATCCTGTTATCCTATAAAAGCCTGAGGGAAAAACACATGGATGGTCGGTAGAACCTATGGAATAGCAGTAACACAAGAATCAGAGACATTTTAGAGCAAAAAGGACCTCAGAAGTCATCTGCCCCCTGCCTCCTAATTTTACACATGAGGAAAATAACTTGTCTATAATAAGGAAATGATTTGCCTAAGGTCACAGTAATATATGGAAAATATTTAGATGGTCCCTCTCAAAGTAGTGACTGTGTTCTCAGACTAAATGATGAAGGTGGGCGGCAGAAGTGCCATCACTGACCTGATTCACTAAGTGCATTAGGTTCCTAAGCATGTTGCTTAGCTTAGGGAATGGGCAGCTGTTGGAGACCTGTTGGAGCACAGTGACAGCTCTGCATAATGTTTCAAAGTCATTCATTGTCTAGAAAGAGAAATAGTTGTCACGGAAGCCCATATGCTCTTTCTCTGTCTCCTCTCTCTCTTTCTGTCTCTGTCTGTCTCTGTCTCTCTGTCTCTCTCTTTCCCCCCCTCCCTTCCCTCCCCTCCCCCAGGCAGGATTTGTTTTCAGACCACATTTCACATATCTTTAAGGAGGACAAGTGGAGAATGAAAGTTTGCTAAAGCAAACATTAAGTATGTTTTGACTGCCTAAAGTCTCCATCTCTTACACATACACAGAGGAGTGTCCAAAGTTTTTAGGACAAAAATATAGTTAAGGGATTATATATACTAAATTTAAAAAATGCTTTAAGGGGAACTTTTAAAGATTATTTTCCTTAAATATTGTTGGATTTATGTTACCCCAAGGATACACACACCACCTTGGTAGAGTGAGGTGAAGATCTGTTAATCAAATGAGGTAAAGATCTCTTAGCCAAAGATCACTTTGATCTTTAGTTTTGCTTGTCCAAATCTGGAGCCTTCTGTTTCTGTAGTTAGAAGGGAGGAGTAGACATGAAATCTCAGAACTTCACCATCACAATGTCCCGGAGAAATTGGCATTAAAGAATACTACTTCAAATGATGTTAAGGAAAGCAGCTTTAAGTATAGGCCAGATAGCATGGAATATAACTACCTATGGGGTCCAACGTTAGTCATATATCCTGATATTTTGATTAAACCTGGGCTCCTGCAGTCTCATTTCAGAACCAAAATAGTTCAAATCTGTATCTGGTGATTTTGTTCTTAAGCCTCCCTTAGCACTGCCATTCTGTCATCAGTGCTATCAATGCTAGCTCAACAAATGGAAATCTTCTGAATTTTAAAAAGCAGTTTTCTATTGGATTGGAGTTTCTCCACTGTGAATCCTTTCAAAAGGATGTATGTGTTAGTTACATTTGGTGACAAATCCTGCTGTATGTTGAATGAGAATCTCCGAATCAAAAGTGACTGCAAAGCTCACCTAGCCCAGCTTTGCACTTTAACAAGCATCCTTTTGAGGCACACCCATGCTGAGTTGTCATCTACCAGTAGCTGAAGACCTCCAATGAAGGGGGAACCCCCAGAGCAAAACATTCCTCTTTTGAATAGCTCTAATTGTTAGGCAGTTTTTGCTTATCTCAAACCTAAATTCACCTTTTCACAAATTTAGTCATGACTTGCTTTCTAATTTGCTTATTTCACTTCTTTTGAATTCCAGGGAAGGCTATGACTTCTAGGTTCTCAAGTCAAGTTAGTAAGCAATTATTAAGTATTTACTATGTGCCAGGCATGGTGTTAAATAGTGGAGATACAAAGAAAGGCAAAATATGCAGTCCCCACCTTCAGGCAGCTCACAGTCTGATTCGGGAGACAAGCAGCAGCCAATATGTACAAATAAGCTGCGTACAGGATAAACAGGGAATGACAGAGGGAAGGCACTAGAATGAAGAGGGCTTGGGAAAGGCTTCCAGGAGAAGGTGGGATTTTATCTGGGACTTGACACCTCTCCTCAGACCATAATCATCTTCCCCACTGGTAACCTAGACTGCCCCAGGGTTCCTAGGCTCTGCTGTGTTTTACCAGGATGCAGGCCTCCATATCACTTCTTGGCCCACTCTGTCTCATGGCACCACATGTACCCCAGTTACGTGCTGTCTTCCCCCAGAATGTAAGCTTCTTGAGAGGACTGCCTTGCCTATGTGCTTTTGTATCCCCACCACTTAGCACAGTGCCTGGAATACAATAAACATTTACTAAATCTGTCCATCTACTCATTTCTCTACCTATTTATCTATCATAACGTTATGAATTGTGCCTCCTTTTGTACTTTACAAATCACTACTTTCCGCAGAAATCAGATAACCCGAGATTATATCAACATGTACTCACCATGACCAGCTGAGAGCATGATGACTCCTCAGGAAACAGCTTCGGAGTACTGGAATTCTTGATATACACAAACATACACACAAATCCAATATATTGAATTATTTAAAGATATTCCTTAGGGATATTAAAAAAAAAACCACTTTGTCCTGTAAATATTGCCTTTCTTGGATGCAACTGGAGGTATTTTGCTTTCTTTGAAATAAACTTTTTGTTCCAGAAATTAATCCAATTTAAAAGAAGACAAATAAGACAAGGATGAATGAAAGAATATACTGGAATTCTTTTTTTAATTTATTACTTTTTTTTTGGCTTTTTGGTGAGGCAATTGGGGTTAAGTGACTCGCCCAGGGGTTACACAGCTAGTAAGTGTTGAGTGTCTGAGACCAGATTTGAACTCAGGTCCTCCTGACTCCAAGGCCAGAGCTCTATCCACTGCACCACCTAGCTGCCCCTACACTGTAATTCTTTTTGAAGATTCCAACAACTTAGGGGCTGGTAAAGAGAGGGATCCCCAAACTGGCTATCCCAAACAATGAGGACAGTACACTGAGGTTCTAGGGTGGAGTTATGAGTTACAGCCACTATGTGTCTGGACCCGCCAAAGTCAGTAAATTCTTATATATAGTTTGGAAGAGAAGCGATAGAGCAGTGGTGTCAAATTCAGATAGAAAGAGGGGCCGTTAAACCGTACATAAGAATTACTGTGAGCCACCTATTGACTTAGAAAACCACATATTAACGTTAGACTTTATTGTATTTTATTTGTTAAAAATTTCCCAATTAGATTTTAATCTGGTGCGGGCAACTTAGTGGACTTCCTGTGGCCCATCTCTGCTATAGAAGCTTATATGGAACCACTCTAAGATCTGATATCATCTATGAGACTTAAAATCATGAATAATTTACAATTGCTTCACTGACACACTTTTTAAATATTTACTGTATGCAAGGCCCTATTTCCAGAAAAGAGAAGAATGCAAAGTTAAATTTGAGACATAGTTCTTACTCCCAAAGAGCTTGGGAGAAATGAGAGGCACAAATTATCACCATGGTGGAAAGTATCAGTTTTATAAGTTAAGTATGTACTTCTGATATACAAGTTTACCAATGGATTGGAATGGAAGCAGGCCAAGCACATGAAAGGGGTTCTAAGCAAAGTGAGCTCAAACACAATAGTCAATTAATATTTTGCTACTTTTAAACCTTTGACTTCAAAAAAAATGCTAACTTGAGCTCACTGTTTACTGTGGCATGGTAAGAAGGCTGGCTGGGGTCGGGAAGATCTGTGTTCAAATCCTTCCTTGGACACATGTGACCACAGACAAGTTGCTTAACTGTGCAGTGTCCCAAACTATTAAGTTATATGCTTAATGGTCTCTCAAACTATGACGTAATAGACAATTGGCTGATCCATATCAATAGAGTTTCCACGCTCTTTACTGAGAGTTTTTACTCTTTACAGTGGACCAAATATATGCATATATACACATATAGTTTCCCTACTTCTGCATAATACCCTAAATTTGCACTATGCTATTTATTGTTATTCCTTAGAAAATAACAATTTATTTGTATAAATCTAACAATCCAGCAGGGAGAGATCATAACTTCCTTTCTCAAATGGATGGTCTGCCCGCTGCCTGCCACACTTGAGTCACATCTCCATATTGACAATTTGTATGGTATCATCCTAAAACATTCTTTTGCCCTTAAGTGATGGTACCTGGTCCCTCAAATTTACTTCTCTACTTTTCCCCTGATTTTCACCTCTTCATAGAATTTTTTTTTCTGAGTACCCAAGATAAAGTCTCAATTGGCCTAATTTTTAAACCCCTTATACCAGAGGTGGGGAACCTGCCTCATACTTAGGAGAGTCTGCCACGGCTTATATATACTGAGAATAATAGGGGAAAGGGTGACATGCTATTCATCTTTCAAAGCATCATTATAAATGTTGTTATGCCATGTTTACAATAACCCTGTGCCATAGTAGGGCTGGTTTCATTCCTGTTTTAGAAATGAATAAACAAAGAGGTGAGGTGACTCACTAAAGGCCACAGGTTAATGTAGCCCGGGTCAATCGTATGTTTTCTACCTACTCATGTAAAAGGAAGATGAATTGGATATCTGTCATACAGTTCACATAAGTCTATTTCAATGCCTCAGCATCACCATTTGGAAGCTACAGATAGGATGCTCTTGGCTTCAATTAGGCAAGTTCTAGAATTTTGTTCCTAATCTTTTTTTGTGATGTTGTTTAGAAGAAGGGACTTAGAAAGCAACTTTCGACTGCCAGAGCTGGGTAGAGGGACCTGGTCTTAGCAAGTTTTGTTTTGTTTTCCTGGATAGAGGGACCAGGTCCAGTAACAGTTGAGATCTGATCAAGAGAAGCCCAATGGAAGTAAGTGCTATGAAATCACTAAACATTGATATAATAAAACAACATTTTTCTTACAACAACCTTGTGAGGTAAGCAATACAACTACTATCTCCATTTTAGAGCTTAGAAAAGTGGGTCTTGAGAAGTTGTGAATTGCCCCAAGATCACATAGCTAGCAAATGTCAGAAGCAGAATTTGAACCCAAGCTATCTGACTCTAAATCCAATGTTCTTCCAAAGCACAAGTTATGGGATGGATATATATATATATATATATATATATATATATATATATATATATATATATATATACACATATATATACACATATATGTATATATATATACATATATATACACATATATATGTGTATATATATGTGTGTGTGTGTATATGTGTGTATGCACATATATGCGTATATGTATATAGACATGCACTTGTATATACATATATGTATATACAAACATATATATGTGTGTGTGTGTGTGTATGTATATGTATATATATAGTTACTGTGTAATGCCTTCAAATCACAGTTGAGAAGAAAGTATCAGTCCTAGTGCTGTCTAATCATAGGTAACCCTGCCTCAGGGCTCTAGATGGTCTGGCCACCATTCAGGAACACATAGAAAACAAGCAGTCAAATAAGAAATGATGGTAAATTAAGACTTTTGGGCTTTCAGTCTTGGTCATGTTTCCATGAAAACAGGAACTGAAGAGCGCAAAACTATTGATACAGCTGTAGTGTTTGTCAGAGAAAATTCACTATCAGATGTTAAATCTGTGTCCTCCCACTAGAGACAAAGGGGGATTAAGGAGACCACTTTGCACTGCTAGAATGATGGATTTTTAAGATTCTTATTTTTCTGTAAAGCTTTCAGAATGTTTTTACCAAAACAATGAAAGCCCTAATTCATCCTTCAAGTCAGCCTTGGTATAAATGTATTGTTAGGTGACCAGAGAAGAAAGAGGAAAAGTGAGAATCTGTCCGTGACATTTCTATTACTACAGACCATTGCTTAGCTAAAGGGAAAGTTCTCTTAAACTGTAACATAATTATCTGCCTCTATTGGTAGAATTTTGTCTTTGAAAAATTGAGCAAATTGGCAGAAACATCTCAAGTACATTCTATTTGTACTTTGAACAGAATCTGAATTATGATGGATTTCCCTGATCATTCCCCAAAATAATCAATGAAAGAAATAACAAAACCTGTTTGTGAATAAAAATAAATGTCAATATTCTCTTTTCCTGGGTAAGAATATCCCCTTTTTCCAAAGGCAGATTCTTCACAATTCATTTGCTGCATATCTTTATAAGAAATTCTCGGCTGGATACTCTAACTCCAGTATACAGTAGTCTTACCTCTGTATCCTCAAAGATGTCCGGCACTTCCATCTCAAAGCAGGGAAACTAGCAAAGCAGAGAGAAAGAAAGTCGTTGAATTACAGAAAGAAAAACGTTGAATTACAGGAACCCCCACTTATTCTTTTAAGAAACATTTTTTAAAAACTACTCTGGCTAGGCGAAAGGAAAGGAAAGCTTTTTATCTTTTACTGCTTCAGTTGCCAGAAGTATCCGTTGTCTTCTCTAGAAGCTGTTGGATTTTTCTAATACCAGAATCACCAGTCTTCACTCAGACACCGATAAGAGATGATAAGAGCTGTTGCCTAGGTACCTTTTTCATAGTAAGAGAGTTTGCCATGTGGACGATCTCTCTGAGAGAGGGTTGGCAGGTCCTTCTCTGTCCCTGGACAACATCACTGGTACATGTTAACAGGCAGAACAAAGTTGGTATCAGTTGGAATGTGAGACGCATGCTCAGATCTCTATCAACAAAGTGGCAACCGTTGATCATTAATTTACCAAGAGAAGCTAGCAGTGTGACTCTGCCCTGAGGTGTCTGTATTTATAGATTCAAAATTGCTGAAAGGAAAGGAAAGAGGGTTATTTTGTAAATTTAAAAATCATCGGCATCTGATTATCCATCACTTCCAGGACAGATAGTGCCTCATAGAAAAAGGTAAAATTTTCCTGTGAAATCAGACCAATAGGAAAATGAAACCTTGTAAAAATCAACAACAAAGTTCCAGTGTAGGAAATTGCACCATGTTCTGCTCTATAGATTAATCTTTCTTCTCAGTTTGGGGCTGCTACTAGCTTTTCACTTTGCATAGGAGGAGGAGGAGGCCACAGGTGTCCAAAAATTTGTTTCAATGCAACTATGTAAGGTCCTGAGAAAAGCTACATAGTAATAGCAGGAAAGTTTGACTGATACAACCTTCAGGCATGTTTCTTATTGATGGAAGGAGCACCTCTATAAGCCTGCTCCTGCCAGTGAGATTTTCCCGCTTCAGAAAGTTAAGAATTCGTGTACCCTGGCACTGGCTTTATCCCAGTTTCCAGGGAACTTCTTCCCTGGCACTGAATGGATCCTTCTTGGACTCCAGCCTTAGAACTACTGCTGATTTCAGGCATCAGCAATCTCAGAAATGAGTCCCTTATCAATGGATGCAGAGATGCAAGTCCTCATCTGGAGAAAGAAACCTTTACAAAAAATCATTCATTTGACCATTATATCTAGTTGACAACCAAGCCAGACATTGGTCTCCTGGCTGCACCATGAATAAGTTAGTCTGTCTCTTGGCTTTGGGCCAGTATTGGGAGGTATAGAGAAGTGGAATTACTTGCCTAAAGTCCAAACCATGTCCATTTACCAACAATGTCCCCCATGCCTGGAATGCTCTCCCTCCTCTGTTCCCATTATTGACCTTCCTGGTGCAACCTCCTATAGAAAGCCTTCCCTCAGCCTTACCTCGTTGCTTGCCCTCTTTTAATTGTTTCTTATTCCTGTATAGGGCTTGCTTTGTATATATTTGTTTGCACGTTATTTCTTCCATTAAATCATAAGCTCCTTGAGGGCAGGGACTGCCTTTCACATCTTTTGGTAATCCCACCATTTAACACGGTGCCTGGAACATAGTAGGTGCTCAATAAATGTTTATTGAATGAATGGATTATTGAGTACTGACTGTGTGCAGAACACCATTGTTCAGTTCTTCAGTAATGTCCAAATCTTCATGACCCCACAAACCGTAGCACACCAATACTGTCCATGGGATTTGGTTTTTTTTTTAAGCAAGGTAATTGGGGTTAAGTGACTTGCCCAGGGTCGCATAGCTATTAAGTTTTAAGTGTCTGATGTTGGATTTGAACCCAGGTCCTCCTGACTCCAAGGCTGGAGCTCCATCTACTGTGCCACCTAGCTGCCCCCATGGGATTTTCTTGACAAAGTTGCTGAAGTGGGTTGACATTTCCTTCTCCAGTGGATTAAAGCAAACAGAGGTTAAGTGTCTTGGCCAGGGTCGCATAGCTAGTAAGTGTCTGAGGCCGGATTGAATTCAGGTCTTTTGACTCCAAGCCCAGTGCCTTCTTCACTGAGCCACCTAGCTGCCTTCTATGCCGTGCTCAGAGCGAAAACATTGCTTAGCAGTTTTGTATTTACCTAACACCTTTGTTTGGAAATATTCCTAGTATTTGATGTACAGAATACTTTTTCAGGTATCTGGAAAATGTTCCCATCAGGTACCAGGTCTTTCCGATCAAAGCAACTGAAACCCAGAGACATTTCTCGTGTCACACAGGTTTTCATCCCCATCAGCTGAGCTGAGCTCATTTTTTTTTTCATTGCAAAATTTTGGAGTTAGATTTCCTAATTTTCAGTTCAGGTCACTTTCCACCACATCACGCCTGAGGAAATGCAGACATTGATTTAAAATTTCTGTTTTGTGTAGATTCTTTTCAAGACATTTTTATAGAGACAGAAAAGGTTTCTAGCATAATAACAATCTCTAACATTTATGTCATGCTCTAAAATTTCCAAAACACCTAACATACATTTTTATCTCATTTAATTTTCACAGCATCCCTGAGAGGTAGGAATGCTGGGTATTATTGTCCTCATATTACAGATGAGGAAACTAAGGCACAGAGAGGTTTAAGGCCTTCTTTGTGGTCCCACAGTGAGTGTCAGAAGCAGGGGTTGTGCCCAGCTCTTGTCATATTTCATGGCCAGTGTTTTTTTTTTAATGTAACATTCTGATTCTCAAGAATCAGTCCCTTTTTTCAGTTAATACAATTGAGGCTGCTAGTCTGGGGAGGGAAGGTTGGAAGATGAGTGATTGTCTCCACCAAAAACAGGACAAGGAATAAAGTTCAATTATGGAGCAAGGGGTTTGGGTTAGACATTACAAAGAAGACAGTCGTGATCAAGTCTGATGGTCAGTGTAACTAACAGTAGGCCAACTCAGTAATTTCATAGATGGGAAAACTGAAGCTGAAAGGAGGGAAGTTTTTTGGCCTTAGGTAATTCCTTCCAACTCTCTAGACCTCAGTTTCCTCATCTGGGAAATGAAGGACATATTCTAGGTGAGTAGGAAGCATATGGAATAAGGAATAGGATGTTGGACTTGGAGTCAGGAGGACCTGGGTTCAAATCTCATCTTCGACACTAATGGCATGACTGAGCAATACATATAACTTCTCTGGGCCTCAGTTTCCTTATCTGAAAAATAAGAGGATTGAACTAGACTGCCTCCATCGGCCCTTCCAGCTCAGATCTATGACCCCCTGATCATTTGATCTCTACAGCCTCTTCTAGTTCTGATATTTTATAATTCTAAGAACTGAGATATTCCTGCAGGCAAAGATTGGCCACCAAAACCAGCAAAATAACTCCAAGGTATAGCTGTCTAAAAAAGAATGATTTCTGTGATCTCTTTCTTAGACCAAGATGAGATGTCTGAGCTTCTAAAGGTTGGTGCTGTGAAAGCAGATTACCCCAATTTTTCCAACATGAAAAAGAAGTATTCTTATGTTCCCAGAAAGCTGGCTGCTGAATTTTCAATGCAAGTCCTATACAGAGTGCATTTCAGATATATTAGAGCAGTAATTTCCCTGCTTTGTTTTGATTTGTTCTTTCTCAGTTCTTTTTTGCTAAAAAGGAAGGGGCCTATTCTTGGGCCTTTGTTAATCAATGAGAGCAGCAGTAATTTTAAAGTAGGGAGTAATACCACCAGGTCCTATTTGAACAGCACTCCTTTGCAAAATAAACACAATCTCTCATTTGATCCTCACAACAACCCTGAGAGGCAAGAAACCCTACTTTGTAGATGAGAAGAGAATGAAAAATGGCTTGCTCAAGGTCACTTAGTCAACTTAGCAGTGGTAGAGTTTGAACCCAGCTCCCTGACTTCCGATGTAGGACATTTCCCACAGTACCAGGTTTCCTCCCAGAAACAGAAGAAGACCATTTTCCCTGAGTCTAGAAAGGAGGGAAAATTATATGGGGAGAAGAAACAGGGAGAAAAATTAGCTGAAGGAAAGAAGCAAGCTCAATGGAAGAGAGGGACCAGAGGAAGGAGCCCAAGGACCGACTTGATTAGGGAAAGGACCCAATGTCTTCTCTTCTCTTCCCTCAGTCAACTAACTAGCAGATATTAAGCATAGCTCCAGAGTTGCCAATGATTACACAATCCAATGACCTTTCCACAATCATCATCCTCCCTGAATTTTCTGCAGCCTTTGACACTGTTGATCATTCTCTCCTTCTTGATACGCTCTTCCCTCTAAGGTTTCAGGACACCCCTCTCTCCTGGTTCTCCTCCTACCTATTTGACCACTCCTTCTCATTTCCTTTGCTAGATCTTCATCTACATCATGCCTGCCAACAGTGGGGATTTCCCCAAGTCTCTCTACTGGGCCCTCTTCTCTCTATATACTATTTCTTTTGGTGATCTCATCAGCTCCTATGGTTTCAGTGATCATCTCTATGCAGATGACTCTCAAATCCACTTGGCCAACCCTTACCTCTTTCCTGACCTCCAGTTTCACATCTCTAATTGTCTATTCAGTATCTCAAATTGGATAACCCATAGACATCTTAAAACAAATCTGTCTCAAACTGAACTCACTATTTCTCTCCCCAAACTTTCCCTTCTTTCTAACTTTTCCTATTACGGTTGAGAGCACAACCATCCTTCCAAGTCCTCCAAGCTTACAATCTAAGAATCATCCTCAACTAGTCAATTTCCAGTCCAGTTGTTTATACTTCTGTACTATCTCTTGTATATGCCCCCTTCTCTCCTCTGACACTGCTACACCTTGGTTCAGGCCCTTTAATAAAGTAATCCTCATATCTGCACTTTGTGACATTCTGCTGATTGGTTTCACTATCTCAAGTCTCTTCTCACTTCAGTCCATGCCCCACTCAGCTGCCAGACTGATCTTCAAGGCTGGTCATACCACTCCCTACCTTCCTCCCATTCAGTAAACTCCAGTGGCTCCCTATTACTCCAAGATTAAATATAAAATCCCTGTTTGGAGTGCAGAGCTCTTCATTCTTGTATCTCTCCCCTCCTCAATGTGCTCTATGATCCAGTACCACTGGCCTCGTTATTGTTTCTTGTACGTGATGCTCCATCTCCTGACTCTGGGCACATTCTCTGGCTGTCCCTCATGCCTGCAATGTTCTCCGTCCTCATCGCTGCCTCCTGGCTTCCCTGGTTTCCTTCAAATCCCAGCTTCAGTCTCACTTCCGCAAGAAGCCTTTCCCAGTCTTCCTCAATCTTCATGCCTTCCCTCTGAGGTTATCCTCAATTTATCTTATCTAAATCTTATTCATAATAGTTGTTTGCGTGTCATCTTTTATACTGTCTGCTCCTTGAGAGCAGAGACTGGGGTTTTGTTTGTTTGTTTTTGTTTTTGTCTTTCTTTGTGGCCACAGCTCGTAGCAGGCAATGAATAAATCCTAGTTGACTGACTGCCTTTTTTTTAGAGGGATAGTGAATGTTTTTA